ACATTTATTAAAAAAAATTAAATGTTTAGAATTAAAATCATCAAATATTGTAAGAATAAATCAATAAGGATGTCGAATAGACATACGTGCAAATTATGCGATGTATAATTCAGCTCTCTGATAAACAAACTATTATTATGCAAGCGCTGAGAGCAGTGTCCGGGCCTGCGGGGCGTCGTGACATATCCTCATATGTCCGATCTAATTACATACGAAATTTATACAGTAGAGGGGAGCAAGAGTCTTGTTTTTGAAATAAAGTCTAAGATTATTAGTGAGCTTATCTTTTATATTATTTATTGGCTGTCGTCGACTTGTATTTGCATTGTACTTATTATTACTTGATGTTCCAAGTGATTGACGATAAGAAATTTATTATCCCATCAAAAACATACTGTAAAAAAATTGCAAGTCTCGCAACGTATTTTATCTACCGCAAAAAGCTATGAGATATAATGTAAAACCAAGTCGGTTAATTTATTCATTACCTATCTATGGAAGCATCTATCCGACAACTTTGTCATAAATCGTTACCGAATTAGTTAAGTTACAACATTTTATAGTGACCGTATTAATATTAGATATATTTATTTCTTTAATTAATATAATGGCTTGGCCATCGCACGGAAACATAATCACATAAGAGTCTACTACTTTAAATAGTCCTAATTAAACATACCATGACCAAGGTGGACGGACGACTTGGTCAAAGTCGCTGGAGCCCACTGGATACGGATGGCAACAGACTGGTTGTCGTGGAAATTTTTGGGGAGGCCTATGTCCAGCTGTGGACGTGTTTGAGCTGAGATCAACTGAACATAGCACTAGCGGGTCAAATTTATGCATACACTAACATAAATAATGCACTCAGAACGCTAATATTAGGTAAATTTTGTTATTTGTAAGTTCTATTATCATGTGCGATGGCCAAGTCATTCTATTAATTAAAGAAATAAATATATCTAATATTAATACGGTCACTATAAAATGTTGTAACTTAACTAATTCGGTAACGATTTATGACAAAGTTGTCGGATAGATGCTTCCATAGATAGGTAATGAATAAATTAACCGACTTGGTTTTACATTATATCTCATAGCTTTTTGCGGTAGATGGGATCTCATTTCTTTTTGTAAATATTTCTTCCTTTTCTCTTTTCTTGTACTATTTCTTGTGTCAGTTAAGGACGTTTTAAAAGCCCACTCACTCCTTGTCTCTGTAGGCTTTTTTCAGATGCATTATAACAAATTTTGACAAGTCTGGATGATAAAAAATCTAAGTCTATTGTATTGGGAAATTGCGGATTCCAGGACTTTAATACTACTATCTTATGCATTAAGTATAAATATGTATAGTTCATTTAACGAATATTTAAATTTCATTGTTGACCCTAAATACCTACCCCGATACTGATATTCAACTTACATAAGTTTAATAAGACGTAAATCGTACGTTAATCGTAGTTAAGTCCCGAAAGTTGTATTCCATTCCATTTTAAAAGTAATTTTCGAAGAGATTGATATTTCATGACCTCTATATTCCATGTTTTAATACGTGGGTACAGTTACGAGCAATGTTGACAAGGTTTTCTAATTCATATCAACATCATACTTTGTAAAAGAAAATGTACGAGTTTTGTTTCAAAATTAAGTAATCGTCAAGTTGTTTCTTAATTAGGTATATATTTTAATCAATTCATTTTAAATAACAGTAATCGAATATTAGAAGGTATAAACTATACACGCTTCACATTACATTTATGTACCCATTTGTATATGCATAAAAATTGTACAGCTACTAAAAAAGCTTAAAATATTATTTTCGCATTAAAAAAATACTTTTCTAATACATGTAGTTGCAAATATAAACATTAATAAATCGACGAATCGAAATTAGGTTAGTAATTACGAGGGAACATAGGATAGGACATACAAACATACCTACAAGTAAAACACTAACCTAACCTCCTTTTACAGTGCAACTATTGTATAATTAATTAATTTACTATTAATTATAAATCTTATTAGAATATATGAATGAGGTGAAAAAAATTAAAAGTAAGATATTATCGGGAAATGAAAAAATAATATTTAATTTAAATAATGGAAGGAAAAAATAGTGTAAATTTAATTAAAATATTTTATGATTTTTAAACGAAATTTATATTTGACATAACGGCACAAATTAAGGCAAGCTATGATGAAGTTTATTTATGTCAAAATATTTATATTATGTACTATTTTATTGTGACCTATTATTTAAAAAAATACCTAAACCTTCTAGCGTTCCTTGACGTCGTTAAAGTGGAGGAATTGACTACAAAATTAAATACTTAGTGATGGCAAACGGAACCCTGAGAAATATATTTTTTAAGTTAATAAAATAATAATATGAGTTATTCCTGTTTTTTTTAACATGACTAAACTAAATATTGATAAATAAATATTGTACCTATATATTAGTCAAGTAGAAGTCGAACTAACGCTCCGAGGGCTCTGTACTACCACAACAATATTTATTATGGACATCAATTATGTAATATAATTTTACGTAATAATCTACAAGGAGATATTTAAAACAAAATTAGCGTAGGAATAATAATAGCGTTTTACTGAACCCCTAAGTAATGCATCCTAATCTTGAATTACATATCCTCATATAAGATTTTTAGGCAATAAACCAAATATAGATAGGTATACAAAAGATATACCACGTATATATATTATATACATAGTGCTAAATGGCTAAATTTGGTTTTAGATAATTTATTTAATAGTTATATTTATCCTATACAAAATATTCTCGATGACGATACGAATATTTTTTGCAAGTGTTCGTGCCGGTTTGTATTTTACAACGAATTCTCTTACTTCTATGTATGATTTGGTCATTAAGTGTAATTGATCTGGGTTTCATCCTACCCAAACTACCATTGATTAGTTGTGAGGTTAATGCTGATGGAATGGCCTCTATTCTATCGTAGAACGATTTGAACGTAGAGACCGGTTTGTGTAGCTCCTGGACATCAGGGACTCCCTCCCGAGAGGCTACACATGACTGCTTTTGCTGGTGTTTGCGCATATATATTTTTTAATTGAGATTAGACACACAACTGAGAGCGGCTCTCGCTACGGTTTTGTCCCGAGGTGATAAGGCACACAGCGATTGTCGGTACGAAAACACCCGAATCTTCGATTACTCATTTATCATATTTTTTATGTTTAAGATCTTGTAGCAACTGAGAGCGGCTCTCGCTACGGTATTGCCCCGAGGTAATAACATACAGAGCGATTCTCATTACGAAAACACCCGAGTCTTCGATTACTTATATTTTTTTTTCATATTTGAGATCTTGTAACAACTGAGAGCGGCTCTCGCTACGGTCTTGCCCCGAGGTGATAACATACAGAGCGACTCTCATTACGAAAACACCCGAGTCTTCGATTACCCATATATTTTTTTTTATATCTGAGATCTTGTAGGAACTGAGAGTGGCTCTCGCTACGGTATTGCCCCGAGGTGATAAGACACAGAGCGACTCTCGCTACGGAAACACCCGAGTCTTGGATTACTTGTATATATTTTTTTATATTTAAGATCATAAATACATTTAAGTTTTAATTTATATATTAAATATATTATTTCTTAAAACTATTTACAATATTGATAATTACATTTTAGTCATCGCTAACACTTACAGTATATCCACTATTTACCCAGCTATCCATTTGGGTAGTTTAAGTGACGAAAAATGATATGTATGAACTGCAAAAATAACTTTGTAATCCCATATATCGCATATCTATTTGTATAGGATTACAAAGTTACTTATGCAGTTTGTATATCTCGAAAACAGGATTAAAATTGCGTGATGTTTGAGTTTTTCCTTCTGTTATAGGCTAAACACTAATTGTGTTCAAAATTTGAAGCTCCTATGTCTGCTATAAGTACCTTAGAATTTTGATGATCGGTGAGTGAGTGAGTGAGTGACGATATAGACGAATTTTGATCTGCAACAGTTCATAAACTACAGCTTCAAATTGAATGTAATTTGGAAATATACCTAGTTATATGATGTTCTCTTAGTCACTCAAAATTCAGGCTTCTAGCTTTATCCATAACGAAGTTATGGGGGGGTGGAAAATGCTCTGAGTCCCTTCGAGAAAAGGATGGTACTGCCGTGCCCTTTTTTTGCTCGACTTGGCGGGGGCACTGCCGTGCCCCCCGATTTATGAATATAGTTTGCTTTGTATGGGCTGGCACCGATTTCGAAAATATTTGATTAGGTATGTATTTAATAGGTAGGCTTTAATTACTTAGCCAAAGCACACCGACTTCGAAAATATTTGATTAGGTATGTATAGTAAATGAAAACTACCAATCAGTTATTTTTTACTTTTTAGTGCTTTTGTTTGAAGTCGGTTTTTATTTTTTTTGTTAAAAAGTTTTTATTTTACCCTTTTTAGTGTAGACAGTAGTAGCAAAGTAAGTATTCTAACGTGTTAGGCTTGTCAAATCAAACAAAACAAGCCCAAACTCAAAGTATCTACTATTAGCCGTTGAAGAGTCCCACCTATCCACCTTCTGGCCTTACCATCAGATCAGGTCAACAATACCGAACCACTGTACTATCAACAGAAATAGAAACACATGCAAAGTTTCAAGTCAATATGACAATTAGAAATAGGTTAAATTCATCATTAGCTATTTTTCCACCCTTAGGGGTGGTTTTTTTTTGAAATTTAAATGGGACCAATCTGGAATTATACACTATCAAACAACATAAAAACTGTCCAAATCGGTCAATAAATGACGGAGTTCTGAGGTAACAAACATTAAAAATAATACAGTCGAATTGAGAACCTCCTCCTTTTTGAAGTCGGTTGAAAAAAATATTTCAGAGGCCTAATTGCATATTGTATTAATGAAGCATAATTGATTTAATTTTTAAGCGTATTGTAAAAATATACACAAAGCGGCAGTAATAATTATAATGATCATGGAGACCTTTTTACTTATAACCAAACCCCATGATGAACGAGCATTGGCAGAAATGCAACGACTAAGAAATGTAATTTCTGACAAAAGGTAAAGTTAATTAATGTAATTAATTAAGTTAATATAAAGTGTCGTTTTATTGCGGAGTTCCTATGGGCACCTTCCAGCACCAGCATCAGACCCATAATGAGATTTACCTACTATTATCAGGTTACTCTAATAGCCTGAAAGAATTTGACTATCGGTCTATATTGAAAAAAAAATCTTTTAACTCCTAACCGTTGAGGAGTTATTGAGAACCTCCTCCTTTTTTTGAAGTCTGTTAATAAGAGCCTGAAAGAATTTAACTATCGGTCTATAATTACGTATAATATGGAAAGAATTTTCTTTTAACTCTTAACCGTTGAGGAGTTGTACCTTCCATCATTAGCTCAACCACAGGAGATGATGATTATCAGACGCAAATACTTGAACAGTTTTAGGAAATATATGAAAAACGTAATAAGTGCCTTTAAAATTTGAGAGTTGCCTTCGATTTCCCTGGGATCCCATCATCAGATCGTGACTTGGTGACTATGGGACCAACTAGAAACTATACTCTTTCAAACAAAAAAAGAATTTTACAAATCGGTCCAGCCATCGTCGAGTAATCGGGGAACATACATAAAAAAAAGTCCCCGACGAATTGAGAACCTCCTCCTTTTTTTGAAGTCGGTTAAAAATTCAATTTCATTCTTTCGAATTTCAATTTTAATATCAAATTATAATATTGTGTCCAGCTCCATCTGGAAGAGAAGAGAAATTAGAGGAGATAACTTTACTTCTCCTCATAGCATCTTCCCACACCTACGAAATAATAATGATAACCTGTTACACCAATATCTACTTACCTACTTATATTGTTTTCATACTACCTTGTACTTAATAATTAAAAAACCTAAATAACTTTAAATGCGCATGGCTTCGTATATTATTCTAGAAATAGATAAAACTCAAAAGTCCGACCTGTACTAAATCTCTTATGCTTACGTAGGATTTATTTAAAAAAACTACCCCCAAAATTGTATCGCCATTTTTTCGGGCGCATAAGGTATTTTCCTTTCGGATATTACTTTTTCATAAGTATTTTTTTACTTTCTTGCAGGTGATGTGGGTGACGGTAGAGAGCGGCGCGGTGCGCGCGGCCCCGTGCGCCAGGGGCAAGCACTCCGCCACGCTGCACGGCGGCTACGTGTACGTGCTGGGCGGGCGCGGCGCGGGCGGCTCTGTGCCGCTGCGGGACTTCTGGAGGTATTGCCTTGGTGGGTACCTCTGTAGTTATTCTATATAGTGTATATTCTTAGCACTTTTTACCCGTGTATGTATGTGTGTATGTGTGTTCGATCCTATGTTCCCTCGTAATTTCTAAACAGCTTAACCAATTTTGATAGTTCATATGTCGTTAGATTTGTCTTAAAAACACGAGTATCATAGAATAGATGGATGATTTTAATCAAAGTTGCAGCAAGAATAAAACATGTAGGTATGTACTCGTAGGTATCATTTCGACTGTATAATACTGAGAACTTTCGTTAACTTGTTTTCTCTACCTCTTTAATTCATTTCATTGGACTTGAAAATATCATAAAGATAATAACTTAGGTCGAAGGTTCGATAACTAATATAGTTTTACATTTATTACATAGTCATTCTTTCACCCAGCAACGGAGTATTGACACGACATGAATTTTGTATAGAAACGTTTTACTGACCAGAAAGAACCAAGTGGTTCTAAAGTTCTTAAAACAATCGAATCTTAATTATGATATGTATTATGATTGTTGTAATGATCAGATATGCTTAAGTTTCTAATACAATACCAATGGGAGAGTGGAAAGGTTATCTCTTGACGTGGAATTCACAATTATCTAAAAATATAACTAACTAGCGACTTACCCTCGCTTCGCTCGGGTTCGTCCCTAGGTTGATTCCCCATACAAACTTTCATGCCCATTTTCATCCCCTTAAGGAATGATTTCCGGGATAAAAAGTATCCTATGTCTTTCCCAGGGTCTCATACTATCTTCTTACCAAATTTCATCTAAATCGGTTCAGTAGATCGAGAAATTACCCCTACAACGTTACTAACTCACAAACTTTACCTCTTTATAATATTAGTATAGAAAAGGAAAATTATTTAATGTTAAACTTTAAAAATACGTTCATCGTTGATCTAAAATCCAAAAAGGACCCAAGACTTCATTTTACTCTTGTCTCTTACATAATACAACTTATTTGAATGCTACTAACGTAAAAATTTAGGCAAGTGAGAATTTTATTCCTCGGAAGCCAAGATTGTACGTGCTGTGGATTTAAATCACATTTTATTTTTGGCAACGATCCTTCCTCTACTGTCCAACCAGTAAAACTAATTACAGTATACATTTTAGCCAGAAATATAAACTTTAGTAGTTAAATACTAGCAATGTTCTTTTGCAAGTTGTTAGAGCTACGAACCTATTTGTCATAAAAACTTTAAAAAAACCAACTTCCAGGCACTAAAATGTAAAAAATAACTAAACAGGGGTTTTCATATAGAATATATACCTAATCAGATATTTTTGAAATCGGTGCTAGCCGATGCAAAGCAAATCTAATATATTTCGTTACGTAAAATACATCACAAATTGACGTATAACACCTTCAGGTAAATTTCTAAAAAATAAATTAAATTTCTTAGAAATCTATTGTTAACTGTAACATCGGCGTGTCCACGGTCGTGGAGGGAATAGTATGTATTTTAACTATAATTAGAGTTCATACCTAATCATATATTTTACCTATTAGATATTCATATCTTAAAATATTGTCGGCTGGCACCGACTTCGAAAATATCTTTTAAGTTTTTATTTTTCCATTTTTAGTGTTGACGTAATAAACACGTAATTTGTAAGAAGAAAGTTTTTAATAACATATTCCATTAAACAATTTATTTAAAAAAATATTTATTGTTAATTTTTTTTAAGACCGCTCGACCGATTTCGATAAACTTTATATAGGACCACCTGGGAAGTATACACTTGAAAATAAAAAAATATATTAAAATCAGTTCAGGCGTCTTTAAGTAATCGGCGAACATACATTAAAAAAAAGATTCCGACGAATTGAGAACCTCCTTCTTTTTGGAAGTCGGTTAAAAATAAGAAACTAATCTATACATATAATAAAATTCTAACTGAGTCGAATCTGTACATTAAATATTTTTCTATAAAATCTTATTGAAATAGTCATTATTATCAATAGGTACAGAGGCCGAATCTATAATTGAAAAATGTCTGTTGTCTACGAACGCGTAACGAAAAAGTCACTGGACCGATTTTGATGAAATTTGGATGGTGATAGCTGGTTATCCGGGTCAACATATAGGATACTTTTTACTGCGGGAAAATATCTCATCTCTGGGAAATCTACACTAACGTTAAAACGAAATAAGGGGCAAACCCGAGCGGAGCGACAGTGAGTCGCTACTCGCTACTGATATAATATCATTTTTATACGGGATTACACGGGTTTATCGTGATAAATACATCCACTTTTACCGGCTTCAATGAAGAAAAATGTTTTTAATTTAAACCCATCCAGCTATTTTAATGCGAAGGTGTATCAAACATACACACATACAAAATATCGAATTTATAATAATAGTACAATTATAATATGAGATCCTTCCAGATGTGTTTCGTATATTCCGTGCAAATAGCCTCCAGTTGGATGTCAAGGGCTCTGCAGTTCTGTGGGCCAGCGCTAATTAGGTCGACAGCAGTTTACGATACGAGACAATTAACCGCGTAAGAACTCTCACTCCCCGACAATTGTTTCTTGCGAATGATTGACATTCTCTTTTAAATAGAAAACCTTTTATTACCTACGTTATTGTTTAAGATATTAACTAGCAGAACCCGCGGCGTCGCTCGCGTTAAAACTACAAAAAAATCTCTAAATGGCGTAGTTTCATACAAAATTTCACTTCCTATTTTACCTCCTTATAGGATGAATTTCGAAAAATGCTAAAACACGTATTTATTTAATTTTATTGAAGAGCATTAATACCAAGTTTCAAGTAGGTAATTCTGATCATAAATATTTTTGTGGTTTGTATTTTAACGTGTCTTCTCGTGGGAATTAGATAATCTCCCGCGGTAAAAAGTAGCCTGTGTTACTCTCCAGCCCTCCAACTACCTCGACACAAAAAAATCACGCCAATCCGTCACTCCATTTTGACGTGAAAGAAGGACAAACAAGCAAATAAACAAACACACTTTCACATTTATAATATTAGTGTGGATTAGATAGACAAATTAAGCAAACAATGTGTACTTAATTGCATAAAACTACACTGGCGTGCAAAAAAATCGGGCCACCCTTAATTTTAAGCATAATTTTTTGTTGACAATTGTTTGGTGAAAAAAAATACCGCAAAGGTAATTAAGGAGATTAGACGCCTTTGTTTCCTTCAAAAAAGTCATAAAATTCCTGGAAATGCACGTGTGCGCTTAATTATAGTCAATTAGCAGTAATTAGTGAATATTTGCATAATATGGATTGAAGCCACAAATACTGTTTTTTGTTATTTTAGGAGCTTAGTTGAGTTCCAATTATTGAACAAGACACTTCTACTTTGATCTGCGATTATTAGAAATACTGCATCTGCGGATCTGACCGAGGCTGAATCATCTCGAATTGTGACTTTGCTTGAAACTGGACAAAGTCAACGTCAAGTGGCTCAAACTTTTTCTGTGAGCCGTTCTACGGTTCAGAGAGTGTACAAACGTTACATAGAGACAGGTGGCTTTGTACGACGACATGGTTCCGGCCGACGAAGAGCTACATCAGAGCGTGATGATCGATTTATTGTATCATCAGCTCTAAGAAATCGTCATCGCACAGGGGTTGACGTTCGAAATCTCCTGAGAGAAGTGAGAGGTGTTAATGTTAGCGAGTGGACAGTAAGGCGCCAACTTAGAGCCGCTTCCCTGACGCCACCCAAGTCTGCAACTGGCCCCAAACTCACCCCTGCACATCGAATTGCAAGATTACTTTTTGCCCGAGATCACGTAAATTGGAATTTGGAGCAGTGGAAGAAAGTTCTTATTACTGACGAAAGCAGTATGTGTTTGCATGGTGCCGACGGCCGTAATTTTGTTTACCGGCGACCAGGTGAAAGATATGCACCATGCACTATGCGGGAAACAGTGTCATATGGAGGGGGCTCAGTTATGTTTTGAGCAGGATTCTGTTATGAAGCGAAAACCGAGCTTATATTCATAGAAAATGGATCCCTTTATATAAAAAATATGTATAGTAAATATATTTTTAATAACTAACTTTTGGCCGATTTTCATGTATATTTCATATATTTTATTTTTATTTCATCAAAATCCGTCCAGTAGTTTTTCTGTGATGCGGTAACAGACAGACAGACAGACAAAAATTCTAAAAACTATAGATTCGGCCTCTGTATCGATGATAATGTCTATTTCAATGAGATTTTCTGAATAATATTTAATGTACAGATTTGACTTAGTTAGAATTTTATTATATGTAGGTATAGATATAGACTAGAGCAACACATAGATTACTGTTATGTACCTACATATGGCGCATCCAAACGAAGCCAGGGTAAGTCGGAAATGGCATCTAATGGTGCTGATAAAAAAAGCAGAAAAGGAGTATCGTTATGATTTTCCGTATTCATTTTTACAAGTCACAACAAAAATCAATCGAATAGAAACTAATCAAAATTGTACATTACAAGTAGTCCTTAAACTTACACAGCTTACTAATATAATAATATCCAAGATATTATTGTACCAGGATCTTATAATAGCTGTAATTATTATTTTTACTTTGCAGCAACAAGTAGATGGGAGCGACTGGAGGCGCGCGGGGAGCCCCCGCCGGCGCTGCAGGAGCACAGCGCCACCCCGCACGGCGGCAAGCTCTACGTGTTCGGTGGCGAGCCCGGCACGCTCAGCAATGAGACGCCTCTCTGGATATATGACACTGAGGTAAGTAGATAAATGTAGTATGGGATAAGAATCCAGTGCCAATATCATGAATTATATATAAAAAGAAAAAAGTCTAGAACAATTTCCGTCACGGCTTGCTTGCAGTCGTGTGAGTGCAATAAGTAATCGATTAGAGAAGTACAAGAGTCAAGACCGAACTTTACGTGGTCTTTCACGGCTCACGGTTATAACTTCGCCAACGTACTAGCTCGGAGCTGCTAATGAAAAGTCTATAGTAAATTTCCTTTATTTGTATCTAAACTAAATAGGGAAACTAAACGTATAGAAGTAGATACGTGACAATAGCCATATAAAGATAATTGAGTATCAGACATCAGTAGTGCTCACTATCAGCTATCGGCAGCTATTTATATGGTAGTGGAACGATTAAAAACCATAATTACCTAACATACAATTATATTGTAATATTTGTTTTCTTATTGAATACAATAATAATATCCTTCCGAACGATTCGGCCATGGCGGTCTATATCATTGAGCCATTTGCGCAGGAGATACTATAGTGCACAAGTGAGCGCGCAAACACAATGTGCAATCTCTATTCCCGTCACTCTCATACTCCGGTGGGACGACTACTTGACACGACCGGTGAAAGTTAAGGCGCAGGACCGACGGCTTTACCTGCTCTCCGAGGCAGGGCGGTGAACCATTGCCAACTTCCTAACTCCGGGCTGTTACTGAGAATTTCTTGATCGATATACTCAATAGCTGAACCTGACCCGATCTGATAATCGAATCCAGGATCTTCGGGTATGCGGGAGTACATGCTAGCCACTAGACCAACGACCGACACAGTTGTTATTAAATAGTATGATTATAAAATGTCAGGTGCACACGTGGCGCAAGCTGCCGGGCCAGTCGGGCGGGCAGTGGACCTCGCTGCGGCGGCGCGGCGCGCGCGACCCCCGAGCGGCGGCGGCGGCGGCGGCGGCGGGCCCGCGCGGCCGCCGCGGACACTCCGCGCATGCGCTCAAGGACTGCCTGCTCATATACGGCGGGTACAAGGATCTGAGGGGCTCTACCAATGAGCTGTGGGCGTTCCATTATGGTGAGCATGGTGATGTTTGATACTATATTATGATGAAGTTTTATTGAGTTTTTACTTTGATTGTATGTTTCTTTAACAAATTTTCCTCATAGTTGAGTTTATGGCGGATAGAGTTCAAAGCTATAGTAGAATTAAACTCTAACTATTTATAGTAGGTAGGTAATAGTTATCATAGTCAAATCTTTAAATATTCGAACTTATCGAATTATTCAATAACGTTTTGATTTGGCTTGGAACCAAACTACCAGTGACACTATACCAGACCTAGAGCCCTAAAATTCGACTCTTAGACAAAAGTCTATATACATATAAAACAAAGTCAGGTTTGTTACAACTTACACCACTTAGGTATAATTCGAGAACTGCTGGACCGATTTTTATGATCTTTGTTTTGTTGGATTTGTCTTCACTTCGAATAGCAGAATAATTATTAAAATATCGAAAAAAATCACAAAACAAAAATCTATTCAATACTAAGCGTCAAAACGTACCTAGGGACGAACCTGAGCAAAGCGAGGGTGAGTCGGTAATATATAATGAAACACACTTAAGTATTTTAGCAAATAAACAAGCACACAAGTTATGCCAAGTACATACTCGTAACTCAAACAATGATATAGGGGATGTATGTTCTGTCACGCGTGTGTACCGTGTACCGCAGAGTCGGAGACGTGGCAGCAGGTGCGCACGGCGAGCGCGGGCCCGGCGCGCCACCGCCACGCCGCCGCGCTGCACGACGGCCGCCTCTACGTGCACGGCGGCCAGTGCGACCTGCGCGACTGCGCCGACCTCTGGCACTACGACACCAGTCTGTATCTATTATATAAATAAATTATATGTTGGGACGTTAACACGCAGCAACATCTAGGAATGCCATGGCAAACTACGAGGCTTGTGTTGTGGATACCAGGCAGTTGATACACTACACATATTATATAACTGTGCATCATACCACCGGAACTACACACTACCTACACTGCATAAACTACGAATGTCATTGGCGTATCAAAGTTCAAAAAATGTACAAACGTAGAGTCCCTCTATGACCTTTCTCCAATGAAGCTAAGGCGTGAGGCTTTCACAAACGATTTGAATTTTGTATGCACATTCCAATAATATCTCGTAAGTAGCCGTCATACACATTCGCTATGTTCCGCACATGACTAGACACGCTGACTACGCGTTTGATGTCAGTTGCACGCTACTCGAGTCGTATATATGTCGCATACATAAATTATACAAAAAATGTTTACTGGATGTTATATTTTTTGAAATGGTATATTATTTAATTTAATTATAATTAATTGCCGTGCGCAGTGTCGCGCGTGTGGACGGCGGTGCGCGTGCCGGCGCGCCTGGCGCCGGCGGCGCGCAGCGGGCACGCGGGACTGCGCGCCGGCGCGCACCTCTACATCTTCGGCGGCGAGGCAGCCGGGCACGCCACCAACGAGCTCTGGCGGTTCCACTTCGGTACGCTCTCTCTTTTGTTACTATTTCATGAAAGCTTAAAAATGCTAAGTCAAGAACGATCAGGAGGATACTGTTTTTATATAATACTCCCTAATCCACAGCCACTGAAACCTGGGAACGAATCATGCAAAGCGTAAAGTGGCCGTCAGCTCGCGTGGACAGCCGCGCGCTGCTGGTGGGTGGGGGCGGGGGCGGCGGGGGCGGGCGGGGCCGCAGCGCGCCGGCGCCCGCGCCGCCACGCGCCGACGCGCCCGCCGGCTTCCTGCGGGAGATATCCAAGCTGTCCAGCTTCCACCTGCGCCGCGCCGCGCGCTGCTCCTACAGCGTGCTGGCCGGCGACCAGGACTCCACCGAGAGCCTCGTGCGCGCCGACCACTCCTCGCTGAGCAAGTCGCGCTCCGCGTACGTCATCGACGAGCGGCAGCCCGCCGACGGCGGCGAGAGCCCGCGCGAGGGCGACGTGGCCGAGCGCTCCCGCTCCGACATGTCGCGGGAGCCCATCTCCGTCCCCGACTTCGCGGACATGGTCTTGCCCACACCTGTCCTGTCACCGATTGAAGCAACTAAACTCGTTTATCTCGACTCCGAAGAAGAGGAGGACATGAAACGCGAGATTGCGTCTCTCAAACGTGAAAAGAACGGAACGCTGACGAAAAAAAGTATACCGAAGTCGGCTTCGGTGAAATTCACAAAAGAACCCGTAACGGAAACCACTATAACGACTGAGGACGAGGGGGAGATGTCCACCTCGGACTATGCGAGCGCGGAGAAAGTGAACCGCCTGTCCGGCGCGTCCTCCTCGGGCTTCAGCAACCCGCACTACTTGGGCCCGGACGTGCGCGCGCTGGGCGCGGCGCTGACGCCGGACTCCGGGGTGGGGCCCGGAGATATAGAGATGCAGGATCTCTCCGAGAAAAGGTCCCGAAGTGTTCCGAGGAATGGGGAAAAACAGCTGTATTTATTACTAGTAGGAGGGAAAGAGCCGCCTCACCTCGCATTGCTCCAGAGCCCGCTCTCGATGTGGAGCTATAGATTGCTGTAAACGTATAAGTACTTAGAATATTGACGTCCAACGGGAATAGAGTGAGAATCGATGTTAGGAATAGATTCGTAAGGCATCGTCTTAGTTACTCTAAAGACTTACATATATTATCAAATTGTTAAAGTAGATTTTCTAGACACGATCGTTTTAAATAGCGATTCAATGATACTGATGAGTCAGTAGGCTTCGTCTAAGAGAAAATGTTTAACAGCAATAATAATAGGAGTCATATAGCGCCTGCGGTAAAATTGTTTCTCCGATGTAAGATGCTGGCGTAAATCGAATAAAAATGTTCAAAAACATTGATTTATACTGTTAAAAATCAATTTTTAATCCCTAAATACTGTAGAGATATCCACTTTGCGAATATTGTGAGTTATAACCGTATATATATAATATACTATATTATAGTTTAAATTTTAAAAGATGAGCCAATAAAAGCTCAATATTGAAAGCTGCCCTTAGTATAAGCCTGGTCCCCTGTAAGCTCGTCGCGTCCTCAGCCTCGCCCTCGCATCGGACGCAGGTACAGAAGTGCCAAGCGACCAGTATTGTAGGTAAAGTCGCAGTTACGATACTCAATGTTTCATTTTAGTACTAATTTATTACATTTTTTAATTATTTTTGTTATATTTTTATAATCGTTATGTAATTTCTTTAAAGTTATGTGTTAGTAAGTTTCCGTGTAATGTACCTGGGACGATAAGAATCCTACCGACCGCGACCGTTAGTTGGAAACTCATAGCTATTGATTTGCGCATTTTTACGACTCCATTTAGGACCATATATTTTGTTGTGTTACCGATACGTACGTACCGATTTTCATTTCTCTTAATTAGTGTTTGAATAATATATACCTACATATTTACAAATAGATAATCAAATGTAATGATGGCTTAAACGAAGGGACTGTACGTTGACATATTTCTATTAGTCAGTTTAGTAACGCGCTTCCGTAGGAAACCAAGTGCGGGTTCACATCCCGGTCTCGCGGCCTCATCCTCGGTCTACGTTAAAAAGGAGCTGAATACAACATTAATAAATTATTAAAAAACAGCACTATTAGAAAATACACAAGACAGTAGCTATGAGTTTCCAATTTTAAAGGCAATATATTTGTTATGTTTCTTTTATGTTTGTACGTTATTTTGTCGTCGAAACAGAGACGAGACTGGAACCGTCTTGGAAGGTATTTTTGACTCAAGTAACATTTTTTAAATGTTAATAAAAATGTAGCTGTCTCTATGGCTTTTTATTGTACTCTGAACATAATATTATTTTGTTTGTGTTGACCAGAGACTGGATAATTTATGAATAGTTTTTGCAAATTCTTTAATAAATTTATTATCCTACTATCCCACTAATATTATAAATGCGAAAGTTTGTGAGGATGTATGGATGTTTGTTACTCTTTCATGCAAAAACTACTGAATGAATTTTAATGAAACTTACAAAGAATAACACATAGGCTACTTTTCATCCCGGAAAGCTGTACGGTTCCCGTGGGATAGATTTCTTTTTGTTTTTCAATATTTCCAATACTTTTTTTGCATATTTCAAGAATATGATATGACTATATTTTGAAACATCTTATCTTAGAATGACAAGTCAAAAATAAAACAAAGCTTGTTTATTCTACCGTTATTTATTGCATAAAAAATAAGTTAATTTTATACCAAAAATGTTTAACAAAATTTTAAAAAAACTACGCGGAGCTCAATTGTAGAATTCTGATAACAAATTAACTTCATGTTACCAACAAGACATGGATATTGTGTACAGACACATTGCTCGATTTAACGTAAATACGTCTTAATTATATTAATCGCTTAAACATACAAAATAACTTCATTTGATATCCCTTTCAATAAAAAAACATCTCTTCATTCATTTTTCTCTCAGAGTTGAATTTTGAATAAAACTATCCTTTTTTTTGGGAAACTCTTTTCTGAATACTCTACTCTAGGCTATTATACTCTATTCAAAAGATCGGGAACCAAAAACCAAAATAAATCCACAAAAAATGCCTTATTTAATTTAAAACATCAATGCGCGTAAAACTTAGAAAGTATTATGGATACGATCTCACAATTCCATCTTTTCTTTTTCTTATTTACTTGGAATTATTTTTTTGGTTTCGGTACAGTTTATTTGCGAATAGTGTATATAATCGACTCCTACACTATAAATTTAAAATCACACATCAAAGTAAACAAGTATTGGCTAAATATATACGATATAATATTTCCCTAGCTCTTATACTATAATTAGTCTAAGAGACAACAGTAAAATTGATCAAAGTAATAAAAAAATCTACATTGGCTCTTGGACTATAATAATAATAAACATATTGCTTGTCTATTTCATTTTTACAAGTACATATTATATGTTATATATAATTGGATGATGGATCACTCAAAAGAAGTAAGAAGTAGTCTTTAAAAATGTTTCATATAATGAAAAAACAAATATCATTTTCATAGTAAATAAATAATAACAACTTTTGTTTTGGATATATATGTAATTGAAATACAAACATACGCAGTTTGCCGATGAGATTACAAAAATATTGCTTTCATATCTTGTACTAGAGACAACTTTAAAGCTATGTTCACATCATCGTCGTATCTTAACTATTATCGGTGTCTGTGGTGGAAGCGGAGAACAAAACAGGGTAGTTGCTTTAAAGAACATCCTTCATAGTTTAATATTTCTAAATAATCCCATATCCCCATAAATATTGGATGTTTAGATGTTTGTTACTCAATCACGCCAGAACGGCTGAACGGATCTGGCTGAAATTTGGCATAGATAGATTAAAGTCTGGAATAGCACGTAGGCTTCTCGCGTGGGATAATTTTGATTTTGTTTTTCATGTAATAATTTCTAAATAATCTTAAACATATCATTTTTGGTTGTATTATACAAATAAAAATGTAACAAAATGTTTACTTATTCTCTGATATACCTATGTATTGTATATTGAATGATATAAACATATAGCAATTACACAATTTTGTTCTCCAGCTTTTTAATACATATCATTCACTATAACGGGATTTGTATGAATCATACAACACAAACGAATGTCGTACACGCTTACTCTTTCATACATACAACATATACTAATCAACATATCGTCGTTGATACTGCAATACCGCGGAACCAACAGTGGCCAATACCGCGGAACTACAAAAAAATCAAAATTGAGATTTCGCGCATATATGCTCTTGATAGTGATTGGCTTCGCCCCGTGTCGTCAGGTGAGCGAATTATCCACTCAAAACGCTAGAAACGACACTAGCCAAAACCGCGGGAGCAGCTCTCGCACGAGAGTGTAACTTTAATACCGCGTACCTGCGCCACATGTTATAGAACGAATGGTCGTTTTGTTTGCGGTTCGTGAATATAAATGTTATTTTGAAGAAATATTGGACTTGCGGGTAAGTAAATGTTAATTTTTGGTTGATAAATAAGTTAGTTATTCACTGAAAGTACTGGTATTTTCAAGATTGTAATATTATTTAAGAATAACGTCTGTAAAATTTGGACGGTAGATACGCGGTATTTTCGTTATCTGTATTTTATTTTTTATGTACTTACGCGGGGTTGACATTAAAATTAATAGTATTTAAAAAAATAATAATTAATGGAACTAATGTGGTAAAGATATAATCAACATAACTAAATACGAATGTAGTTTTTATTTTACCCAAATCAAATTATATTTATGTAAAACTTTCAAATAAGTAAGTGGCTAATTTTTTTTCAGATAATCATGGAAAAAAATGGGATGCAAACGAAGCAGAGCTCTTGCAGATGCAGCCAAAAATAGATTCTAATTCCAACATAAAAGTTGTGACATTAAAGGATCTTCAAAAACGACGCCAGGAACTTCTTCTTAAAAGACAAAACATTTTAAACAAAACACTTTCTCGAAATTCATCCACAATTTTGGGTTCATCTCAACCTAAATTTCCAGCTTCACCTATATGCGTATCTTCAGATATTGATTATGATATAGCTAATTGTGATACATTAACGACTATCTTTCAACCTATTTGTCCCAGCATTTCAGCCACTGTTTCACCGGATGTTGCAGAAGAAACTGTCGGCTGTTCTAATGACCCAGTCATAACATATACTGATGTTACCGAAGAAACTGTTATGGATTTCTCTCCTGATAATTCTATCGCCGATCCAGACTTTGTACCGCTATCTGATATCACCAACGTAGAGCCTATGGTATCTGATGATTTTGATTTGTTTCCGGAACAAAATTAGAGGGAGATGCAGCAAAAGAGTCAAGAAAACGAAAACAAAAGGCTGACCGTAAAACTTGGAGGAGAGAGTTAAACAAGAAAGATAGGATGTTAGGAAAAGCATATGTTGGGTTTAGAAAAGTTAATAATAAGTATGTTCAAAAAGAATCAAAACCTCAAAGGGCTATGGGCCCTAAGTGCAGTTCGTCATTTTGTGCTGGTAGTAAAGTTCTATTTTGTTCCAATTTGACTGAGGACATACGACAACAGATTTTTGAACGTTTCTGGAGCATGACGTGGAAAGAGAAAAAAATGTATGTACGGTCGATGGTTGACACAGAAAGCATAAAAAGAAAGACGACAGAAAGTAAATCTAGACGGTCGGAAACAAGTTTATATTACCTGCAAATACATGGTAAGAAGGAAAGAGTTTGCTTGAAAACATTTCTGGCGACACTAGCTATAAAGGAGTGGACTGTTCGCTACTGGCTATGTGGAAGAGCAGATGATAATTCTATTCACACAAATTTGTCTCCAACATCGCCTACTTCTAAACGAAATTCTGTAAAAAGTTACCTGAGCTTATTGCCCAAATTGCCGTCACATTATTGCCGCCAAACAAGCACAAAACAATACGTGGAACCTATTATACAATCCAAGTCACAATTGTATAACTTATATGTCGAATATGCCTCTTCAGCATCTAAGCTAGTAGCTTCTAGAAAGCTCTTTTTTGACATACTTGTGGAGCAAAATATCGCCTTGTTTCAACCTAAAAAAGATGCTTGTGACTATTGCTGTTCATACAAGGCAGGTAACGTTCGGGAGGAAGATTACCACCGCCACGTCCAGCTGAAAAACTTAGCTCGATCCGAAAAGACAAAAGACAAAGAACTTGCAAAACTTGGGCAAGTTCATACCATAACTGCTGACTTGCAAGCTGTAAAACTGTGTCCTTCTCTATCGGCTAGTGCGCTATATTTTAAGACCAAGTTAGCGGTACATAACTTCACTATTTATAATCTAGGTACAGATGATGTTACGTGTTATTGGTTTAATGAAACAACCTGTGATCTAAAAGCTACAACCTATGCCTCGTTTTTTGTAGATTATCTGACAAACTTGTTAAATGAAAATCTTAAAGATGTAGTTATATGGACTTACGTATGCACTGCTCAAAACAGAAACACTGTTGTTTCTAACGCTCTTCTTAGACTAGCAATGGACAAAAATGTTACAATTACACAAAAATACCTCGAAAAAGGACATACGCAAATGCAGGTAGATTCGGTCCATTTACTTATTGAAAGAAAACTCAAAAATATTGAAATTTTCTTGCCATCACAGTATGCTTCTTTAACTAAAGAGGCCAGAAAAAAACCTTTTCCTTATAAAGTTATACAACCAGATCATACCTTTTTCAAAGACTACAGCGTCAAAGAGTACCAAATTTATGACTCTATAAGGCCTGGGCGCATTTCTGGCGATAACTGTGTAGTAGATCTACGCGTATTAAAGTATAATCCTAATGGTACTATCGACTTTAAAAAACATTTTGAAGACGAATTTAGTCCACTACCTCGAAGACCAAATAATATTTCAACATTGATAAACGATGTACCATTTCTTTATTCTTCTAGATTGTCAATATTAGAGAGTAAATATGAGCATTTACAGCAATTAAAGAGTGTGATTCCTAGTGACTGCCACCAATATTATGATAGCTTACCGTTTAAAAAAAAATAAGCAAGTTTCTATTTCCAAATATTAGATCTCGTTTATATTGAAGTTCCTATTATAATTGATGTTACTGGATTTTGATATAGTTTAATTTTTGTTTCTGGAGTTTAATAATTTAAGTTTTTGATTTTTGTTTCTACAGTTTATTTGTATGTTTTTTTACTTGTTCTACTTTTTAAGTTAGTAAAATTGTAGTCAAAACGATTGACATTTTGAGACTGATTTATCTGAGATATAATAATTATTATTCAATTAAGTAAACTTAAGTAATAAATGATTCTTAAAATACAAAATTTTTATTTACATGCTTTTTGTAATTACGCGTAACTACTAAAAATGCTCAACTGCGCCCCATTTTTGAACATGCAATAGCGAGAAAGTGTATTTTTTAATCGAATAGTGAATTTAACAACTTAAAAACCCTAATAGAAAATAAAATACATAAATTTAAATACATTTTACAGTTCAGTCGGCCAAAGATGCAGTAATAATGAAAATATTAAGTTTTTTCTTTTTACTGTAAAATTTATCACTACCAAGTTACGCGGCTTTAGCCACTGTTGGTTACGCGATATTGCAGTATCAACGATGATATCATGTAATATAACAACTGTAATGTCGAAAACACTAAGAATTGATCAGATTAATTTAAATAAAACTATATTTTCGGAGAGACGTCTCTCCCATGACCATGATTGCTGTAAAGTATTCGAAACGTCGGGCACCAAAAATCTAAATAAATCCGCGAAATAATCCGAAAAGATAGTTTTATTTAAAATATCAAATATTCGCGTAGATCTAAGAAAGTATTACATATTAATTTAATGTTCCTTAACAAATTAGTTTAGAATCTACATTCAATTCTCAAATGTGACCTTAAATATTTCCTCGCACGCCGCCTTCGCCGCCAATCTGCGAGCCTCCTTCTTTTTCGTCGCTGGAAAGCAAGTCATATTTTATTATACTGATTACTTTATTTTCAAAGAATTTTTGCCTGTTTTTAAATAAATATAATATAAATTAATGGCCAAATTTTATTTAAACTTATCAATGATAGAAAACACGAAAGCCATCAATTGTTCCCTTTTTAGGGTTTTATAAGCGAAGGATGCCACAACAGAGAACCCTATTTTACTAAGCCTCCGCTGTTCGTCCGTCCGTCCGTCTATCAGAGGGCTATATGTCATGAACCGTAATAGATAGAGAAATGAAATTTTCAGTGTGTATTTCTATTGCCGCTATAGCAACAAATAACAAATAAAAATTTATAAAAAAATGAAAATACAAAAAACATTTTCAACGTTCGTAATCAATCATCGAAGTTAATATACTGCATACATAGAGTAAGCCATATTAATAAAAAGTACATGTACGATGATACGGAACCCTTCGAGCGCGAGTTCGACTCGTACTTGACCAATTTTTAATTGAATTTTGTATTTAAAACTAGCATTTAATTGCAGTGCGTGACTTTAGTTAAATTTATTAACTATGTGATATCACGCGATGTATCCTGTGAGAGACTATCGCGTGAGAGAGAAAAAAGTGTGGGTGGTCACCGGTGCCGACGTAGGTGTTCCCGTCGACGTCGACGGCCATGGAGAAGAGCATGTTCTGCGGCGCGGTGCCCTGCGCCGGCAGCTCGCGGTACGCCAGCTGCGGCCGCAGGTACGCCAGCAGCATGCACGGGTGCATGGCGCCCGCGCGCGCCGGCACCTCCTTCGCCGCCTTGCCCTTGGTGGACCCGCTCTCCGAACCCGTCTCAGACACCTACGTTGTTATAATTACATATAGTAACAACACACAACCAAAGCAAAGCTGTTTGTCTGAATAATAAATAAATAAAATATGTTGGTACATTAACACACAGCACCCTCTAGCTCCATGGTAAGCTACTGTGTTATGAATACCAGATAGTTGATACACTACACATATATCACTTTAAATATATACTATTATACATACTAGCAGAACCCGCGGCTTCGTTCGCGCTAAAACTCGAAAAATCTCTAAAAAGGTAATTAATTACAAACTTTCCCTCCCTGTTTTACCGCCTTATACGATGAATTTCGAAAAATGCTAAAACACGTATTTATTTAATTGTATTGAAGAGCATTAATACCAAGTTTCAAGTAATCCTGATCATAAATATTTTTTGCATTGTAGTATAGTGTTTTCCCGTGGGAATTAGGTAATCTCCCGGGGAAATAAATAGCCTATGTCACTCTCCAGCCCTCCAACTAACTCCACACAAAAAAACACACCAATCTGTCACTCCATTACGACGACAAAGAAGGACAAAGAAAAAAACACACTTTCACATTTATAATATTAAGTATGGATTATAAATATAAACACCCATGACTTGAGTACAAACATTCGTGCTTATCACACAAATGAATACATACCCACAGCAGGACTCAAACCCGCGACCGTTGGCTCAGCAAGTACACAAAGTACACTACAAACTGAGCCTAACGTGTCGTCAAATAATAATAAGTACCTGTGCTACCGAGCTTCGATCTGAGTTTTTCGCCTGAAGTACACTTTTCTTTTTTTTTTGAACTAAAAACTTGAATAAATATTAAAAAAAAAACAAAAGTAAAAACTTTGTATGCGACCGAGGTTCGAACCTGGACACCGGTGATTGTTTATCTTGCACCTTGGCCACTTGACCACGATGCTTATACCTGAGCGTGCAAATTACCGATCATATTTCGCGTAGAATAATGCAAAAGAAAACTGCATGAAAACTCGAAAACACGGTTTCTCAGACATAAGACTAATCTAGATCGATCTTTCGCCCTCGAAACCCCCAATGCACTAAATTTCATGAAAATCGTTGGAGCCGTTTCCGAAATTCAGATTATATATATATATATATATTTTATATATATTTATATTTATATATATATTTATATATATATTTATATATATACATATATATACAAGAATTGCTGGTTTAAAGATATAGGATAGGATAATAATAAAATCTGAATGTTGTACGTACAGAGTGCGGCCTGAGCTGAGGGACCTTGTGTCCGTCCCACTCCCACTCGGTGAACAGCTTGTGCAGCGCGTACGACGCCAGCTGGATCATCGGCACCGCGGACTCCTCGCCCTCGCCGAGCTCGCCGCCCGCCGCGCCCGCCGCCCCCGACCCGCCCTCGCCTGCACACATACACATCAATAATACCCCAACAAAGGTATAATAAATATATCTAAATATGATGTCCTCCCGACCGCTTTACCGATTGACCGTCCATAGTAGACCTCACTGAGACTAGCCAACTACGCAGAGGTGCACTCTCTATTCCTAACACTCTCATACTGTAGTGGATCGTTAGTTCGACAAGACCAGTGAGAGATAAAGCATGGGTGTGAATCACCGCCAACTTCTCAAATTCTCAATAACTAAACTTGGTCCGACCCGGGATTTGAACTAGAGCTAATGAGTCAGATACAGTATTTCATAGGCATATATATAGAGGTAATTTACCTCGCGTTATTGCGTTTTCATGACTCCTTTTTTTGCGTTTTCATGGTAACACATGACATTTGCAAATTTTATAGGTGTTAACAGTATACATAAAATATACTGTTAATATGAATTTACTTTAATATACAGATAAAATACTCTTTTTCTATAATCAAAATGTCATTTATTTGTGTTTTACATATGATTATTTTGAATTAATAAAGCATTTATAACTGAATGTTATAGCAATTATTAATATATAATACATTACCCTCGTTGTTGTCTGTGAAGAGGCGGCTCATGCGCTTGATCATGAGGTCGCGGATGGCCTGCTCCGCCGCGTTGTTGCGCGCTATCAGCTTGTTCTCTCCTGCACACACAAACACACACAATATATACATTGTAAAGCAGGTTTTGTAACAACTCGACAATAGAGCAACAAGATATTCCGATTGCATAAAAAACAGTTGTTAAAAATTAACTAAAATACATACATACAGGTCAACACACATAACCCTCCTTTAGGCTTCGCCGCAATCGGGTAAAAAATATTTCAATATCCACTATAGTCTGTTGAACTTTTGCATAATGATATATAAGATGTATAAGCATATAAGCCTACCGAATCCCTTGTAGTTGACGCCGTCCACGCACAGCTCAGCGCAGAAGCTGTGCAGGTTGGGCTTGTAGTACTGCGTGCCCGTGTTCGTCACCGCCTGCACCTTGAATTGCTGCAAAACAAATTCAAATTAACATAAAATCAAAAAAATACTTTATTTAATACACTTTGATAAGAAAATCTTTTTTAAATAGTTATTATTATAAATACAGAGGCCGAATCTATAGTTTTTAGAATTTTTGTCTGTCTGTCTCAGAACGCATCATGAGAAATCCCCTGGACAGATTTTGATGAAATTTGTTATGATGATAGCTGGTTATCCGGATCAACATATAGGATACTTTTTACTGCGGGAAAATATCTAATCTCTGAGCTAAACGTTAAAACGTAAGTAGGAACGAACCCGAGCAGAGCGAAGGTGAGTCACCAGTATAATATAAATACTTACATTGGCCAACTGTTCTCCGGGCAAGATTTCATTGAGCACCATGAGGGCGTTCTTGGGCGTCAGCAGCCGGCGCAAGTTCTCGTTCTGGCGTCTGCGTCGCTCTTTATTCGAGATTTTTTTCACTAAAATGAAATGTATTTATCTATATTATAATATTATAAAGAGGCAAAATTTGTTTGAAAGCGCGAACTACTTATCCGATTTGAAAAATCAGACAGCCTGTTTATTGAGATAGACGATAGGCTAAAATATCATCATGCTACTACTCAAGGAAGCGGCGCAGTAACATAATATATAGTCTATCTATTCCATACTAATCTTTAAAACTTATCTATGCATAAACCCGAGTGAAACGAGGGTGAACCGCTAGTATAATAATAATAAGTCGGACATGAAATGCGAGTTTTTTATTTGTGTATGTTTCTCTTTCTTTACACAGAAATGGCTGGATGAATTTGGATATAACTCAGCACACGGATAGATTATGACCTGGAGTAACATATACACTTACTTTTTGGCACCTAGGGAGTAGCGACACTTGAACAAAGTAAGCGTAATTTACTAGTAAAATACAATCGTCCTACTTCCACATACAAACTGAAAATTGGATCGTAATAATTTCAACATAGAAGGCATTTACTGACCGGATATGAATATACCATTTCTTATCCCACAACACAAGAAAGTATTCATGAGATATTATAGTATCGCATATGAATTGTGATGCAGGTTAGTTGCAATTTAATATTGGGTTGCTTTAGTCTAATATGCGGCGATCATAAGTAAATATCTATACAGATAAATAAAATTGAAGTGTTTGTTTGTAGTGTCAAAATAACAACCTTTTACTAAATGCATATGAAATTATAATATATGGTACTTAAAAGAAAAACACATTTTTTTAAATTTTGTCTGTCTGTTTGTTCTGGATAATCTCTGAAACGGCTGGACTGATTTTGGCGGGACTTTCATTGGAAGATAGCTGATGTTATAGGGAGTAACAGGTTACTATTATTTTAGAAAAAGAATTGGGGTTCTGCTCAAAAAACTAAAACGTACCTAGGGACAAACCCAAGCGAATCGAGGGTGTCGCTAGTAATACACTCCGCGACAAAAGTATAACTCACCCTAATTTTATAATATCCAATATAAAATTATAGTTATATTAATGCATTACTTACACATTACACAAAATTAGGTATTGGTAAGTATATTTTACAACCAATGTATTATTTGTTAAATGCAAAATTGCAGATGACACATAAGTTTTGCGGTGCGACAAAAGTATAACCCAGGTAAATTAAATATAAATAAAACTCAAGAGAAATGCAACAAAGAGCTATTATTTATTTAATATTTAGTACTTCAATCAACATTTAGTAGATCCACTACTTTTACATATTGCTGGAATCATTCTATCTGGTATGTTAAATGTTTAATATAGTTTATTATCTGTGTACATGTTAGTTACATTATCTGTGCTTTACTCTCGATTATCTTATCTGTACTATGTGTGTAAAAAGAGTTGTAGAAGAGATTAAACAGTGTTGATTTATATAATGGTGTTTTGAGTTTTCCTAAAGTAACAATTAAAATAAGATTAACAACAGTATATTTACATTCACCTCATATGGTATACCTAAATAGGAGGTTACCAATAATAGGTTATGGGCTGATTGAGGTGGATGAAAAGTTTTGATATCAAAAGTTATAATGTTGCGCAATATGGCGTCATGCAGCATACATTCGATACAAATAAATAATTTAAAGTCAGATAACTTTAATAATTGGTTATTTCGACTGAGAGCGGTTCTTGAAGAAAAAGGCGTGTTGTATTGTATTCAAAGTTTAACCTCTGAAACAAAAGATACAAAGTTTATTAAAGATGACGCAACAGCCAAAAACATTATTATTTCATGTCTCAGTGGTACTCATTTGGGAATAATAAAGGAGTGTACTACAAGTAAGTCAATGATTGAAAAATTAAAAAATACTTTTCAACGTAAATCTGTTGTTTCCAAACTTTATTTGAGACGTCAACTTCTAAGTTTGAAATGCATGGAAAATGAAAAATTGGAAATATATTTTCAAAAGTTTAACAGTATCATAGAGGATTTAGAAAACAACAACGAAAAGTTACTTGAATTGGACAAAATTTGCTACCTATTAATTGGATTACCACAAAAGTATGAAACCGTAATTACTGCAATAGAGACACTCAACAAAGATGATTTAAAGTTTGAAAACGTGACAGCGAGACTTCTGGATGAGGAATTAAAAATGACTTCTAAAAATAATGAAAATAATGATGAAAATGCCTTTATTGTTTGCTTTAAGTGTCAAAATAGAGGTCACAAGGCAATTAATTGTAAATATTATGGTCAAGGACGTGGACAGGGATGGACATGTCAAGGAGACCCCTAAGAAGAGGACGGGGAACTCAAAATTTTTCAGGAGCGAGTACTAATATGACAAATTCTTCAAATTATAATAATAATATGTTGTTTTATGCGGATGTTGATAAAAAGGACTATAATATGGTATGTGAAATGTCTAATAATAACAGTTGTAAAATTGAGTGGATAGTTGATTCTGGTTGCACGGAGCATCTTATACAAGAAAAATTTAGTAACTATATGGACAATATTATAACTTTAGACAGAGAAATTAAAATTTTTGTGGCAAATGGTGATTTTGTAACTACAAATAAAAAAGGTTCTATTAATATGTTGTGTAACGGGCGTACTATAACATTAGAGGCACTTATTGTTAAAAATTTAGCATTCAATTTGTTGTCTGTACAAAAAATTTTGATAAATAATACAGTAAACTTTTGTAATAACAGAGTAAAAATAAGTAAAAATAATTCAAAATGTTATGTAACAGGATATCGGAAAGGTAATCTTTTTATTTTAAATATGGATATAAATTTTAAAAATAAATCATTACAATGTACCACTGATGGCATCTCTGAAAATTTATGGCATAGGAGATTAGGTCATGTGAACAGACATAGTCTAAACATTTTAAAACTTCCAGTGAGCAAGAAGGTATGTGAGCTATGTATGTCAGGTAAGGCTACAAGACTTCAATTTAAATCGGTACAACATCCAAGGTCACACTATATAGGTGAACTGCTGCATACTGACATCTCAGGACCAACCAGAGTAGAAGGAATAAATGGTGAACTCTATTATCAGGTAATTATTGATGATTATTCACATTTTTTAGTTGTTAATCTTTTAAGATGCAAGAGCGAAGCTACTGAAAAATTTGTAAATTACATAAAAAGATTGGAAAATGAAAAAGAAGTTAAAGTAAAAAGAATAAGATGTGATAATGGTTGTGAACTGAAAAATAAGAAATTTGAAGCATTCTGTAATGACAAAGGTATACAAATAGAATATACAGCACCATACTCACCTCAAAGTAATGGAGTAGCGGAAAGAATGAACAGAACTTTGTATAACAATGCTCGTACTCAACTTATTGAAACTCAGTTACCTAAACATTTGTGGACTGAAGCAATCTTGTGTTCAGCATATCAATTAAATAGATGTCCGTCTTCAAGTATAAACTTTAAAACACCAGAAGAAATTTTTAGAGGTACAACCGACTTGAGTAAATTAAAATGTTTTGGATCTAAATGCTGGGCAGTTATACTTCCTAGACAAGGTAAATTTGATGAAAGGTCTAGAGAGACACGTATGGTAGGATATGGTCAGAACGGATATCGTTTGTGGGACTCTAAAACAAATGAAATTATAGTATCACGTGATGTTAAATTTAATGAGATGGATATAGTCTACAAACCAAGTCAAAAAGAAAAAGAAGAAAATAATTATTTGTACTTACATAATGAGAATGGAATAAATGAAAATAATAGACAGGAAGAAGAAGAAGAGAAAGAAAAAGAGGAAGAAGAAAAAGAAGAAGAAAAAGAAAATACAGATGGAATTGATCATACAGTGACACGAGATACAAATACAAGACCAAAAAGGAATATAAAGAGACCGGCTTATTTTAAAGATTATGTAGAACATTTTGAAAATATGGAAAGTAACATAGCATATTGTCTAAATACTATACTAGGAACAGATCCAAGCAGTTACAATGAGGCGGTGCAAAATGAAGAATGGAAAGTTGCCATAGAAAAAGAAATAAAGGCACTAGAAAAGCTAAATACTTGGGAAACAGCTGATCTACCAAAAGGCCATAAGGCTATAGACACAAAATGGGTTTTTAGAAGTAAAACAGATGGAACAAAGAAAGCCAGAATAGTAGCTAAAGGATTTCAAGAAGAAAATGTTTATAATGTTTATGCACCTGTTGCTAGACTTGCAACCGTTAGGCTTCTATTAAGTATATCAGTACAAGAAAATAAACCATTAAAACAATTGGACGTACCAACAGCTTTTTTAAATGGAGAACTTGACAATGAAGTATACATAAAATATCCTGAAGGAATTACAGCTGAAAAAGGAAAAGTTTTAAGATTAAGAAAAGCATTATATGGTCTTAAGGAATCACCACGTTGCTGGAATGAAAAGATACATAAATTCTTCCTAGATAATAATTTTAAACAATCTAAATATGATTTTTGTCTGTACTATAATGAAAACACTTGGATACTTATTTTTGTGGATGACATATTGATATTAGGTTTTGGAGAAAATATAATAGAGAAATTGAAGAAGGAATTTAATACAAAAGATTTAGGAGAAGTGAAAGAGTACTTAGGTATGGAAATACATAGAGAAGGAAACACACTTAAAATTAAACAGGAAAAATTAAGAATGAAAATATTGAGTAACTTTGGTATGATAGATTGTAAAGGAGCACAAACACCAATGGATAAAGAATTGATATCTACATCTGAAAATGAAAATATAATTACTAATGTACCCTATAGAAAGCTGATAGGTAGTCTAACATATTTATCGACAGTATCAAGACCAGATATAACTTTTGCAACCTCATACTTGAGTAAGTATTTGAATAAGCCAACTATACATCATTGGAAAGCAGGTAAACGTATACTCAGATATTTAAAAGAAACTAGGCATAAATCTCTGACTTATACTAGGTCTGATGAAACTAAGGAACTTAAAGCATATAGTGATGCGGATTGGGCAAGTAATAAAGAAGACAGAAAAAGTGTAAGTGGATGTGCTATATTTTATTCTAATAACTTAATCTTATGGTTCTCAAAGAAACAACCTACTGTTTCTCTTTCATCGGCTAAAGCTGAATATATTGCTGCTTCGATGACGACAGCTGAACTACTATATTTAAAAGGTATTCTAACTAATTTTTATCCTATAGAAATACAAACTAAATTGCTTATTGATAATCAGAGTGCACTCAAGATGATAAATTGTAATGTGAATAGTAAAAGAACTAAACATATTGATATAAAATTTCATTTTATTAAAGAATCTGTGAAAAATTATAATATTGATATTAATTATATACCAACTGATAGAAATATATCTGATGTGTTAACAAAGCCTTTATGTAAATTGAAACATGCTTATTTTTGTAAAAATTTAAATGTCATGTAAGAATTAAGATGTATGTGTAGCAATGACTAATTTGATTACAAGTAATGATTAATGAATAAGAATCAAATTAATCATTGAAGGGGTGTGTTAAATGTTTAATATAGTTTATTATCTGTGTACATGTTAGTTACATTATCTGTGCTTTACTCTCGATTATCTTATCTGTACTATGTGTGTAATAAAGTTGTTGAAGAGATTAAACATGGTGTTTTCCTAAAGTAACAATTAAATAAAATTAACAACAGTATATTTACATTCACCTCATATGGTATACCTAAATAGGAGGTTACCAATAATATGGTAAACTGTCATATAACTATTTTTTAATTGGTTTTGATTCATGTTTTGCCATTCGTCAATTATTACCGTTTTTAACTCTTCAACAGTGGTAAATTGTTTTCATCCTCAATAGACAGCTCGTGATAAGTTTCCTCAATAATTTTCAATTACATTTAAGCCAGGAAAATAAGCTGGCCATTCAAGAACTTGAATATTTGTTTCAGTAAAATAGTTTTTAACTATTTGTGCACGGTGAATACTGACATTATCGTGCTGAAATATAAAATTAGGCCCAGCAATTCGCATTACATGAGAAGTAATCTCTTCATTTATTATGTTTTTGAACCGTTTACTATTCAATTTTCCAGTACAGAACTTGATATTCATTTTTCCTAAGTATCCAATTCCATACCATATCATTACATTACCACGTCCGGCTTGTCGTCAAATCAATACACATTTTTCTTTTCTAAAATCGTGAAAATAACTTTTTTCCAATTCTTCTTTCATTGAACATGATCTTTTGCAAATATAAATGTATCTAATTTATGTTTATCAGATACTAGTCGTTTACTTTGTAATTTCTTACGTTTTAGGTATCGACACCCATGTATAAAGGTTGAACATTTCTTAAATTAGTGCTAACACCAGCCTCCACTGTAACTTGTCTTGGTGTAAGAGCAAAATTAGATGCGACTCTCAGAATTGACCTTCTTTCGGGTAGTGTTGCCCTTGATCGAACAGTCTTCTATCTTTTGCCATAATTTTCAGGATCTTTTAGAAAATTACGCACAACATAATGACTTCTATTGATAAATTTTGCAATTCTGACTTTCGACCCATTTTTAGTTTTAGATTACAATTTCCTAACTAAATTAATTTCACTTTCGTTGAAACGTTTCCCACGTGGCTTTTTATATTAGAAATAAATAAATATCAATCGAAATAATTTTCTAGTACATAATAATTTACGAGGAACGCAGAACAAGTATAAAAAGGAACTGACACGTCTAACACATGAAGCTGCTCAAGCCAAAGTAAGTTATGGGTTATACTTTTGTCGCACTATCAAACTAACAATCACGCCGTAATATAAGAAAACCACTTAGAATGTAATCGAACACATATTATAATACTACAAATAAATAAAAAATATTAGTGCAGTAGTAATATATCCTGATAAATATAGTCTTTAACTTTTAACTTTGTATTATATAAACGTTGCCATTTATGTACATTTATTTATTTATTTTTTATTTATTATAACACAACAACAATAAAAACTATAAATTAGATAACAATATACATTTACATTTGAAATAAAAATTAACATATAATTAATTGATTAATTTAAAATTTATTTATTTATTTATTTCAAATCTAATCAAAATTTCAAATTTTGTGGTTGAGATCCCCTTTTAAGCAAATAATTTGCCTGTATTAGGAGACCCCGCCCTTTCATAAAAAAGTAATTTTATCTTTTAGCTGATTATAATATTATGGGTGATACTACAAACTTAAATAGATCAATTAAGACAAACAAAAAAATAAATAAAAATAAAAATTAGCGTACATATATTTGTTTGTGTATTGTGTGTGAGTGTGCGTGTGTGTATGTGCGTGCGCGTGTGTGTGTGTGTGTGTGTGTCCGTGTGAGTGTGTGCGCGTGTGTGTGTGTGTGCGTGTGTGAGTATTTAATGAATATGTTCTAACAGTTTTTCCGTATCATTGTAACTAAGAGTTTTTATCCAATCTATTAATGTCTTTTTGCATTTATGGTAATTGTAGGGGTAAACATAAATGATACTGTTAATTTTATTATATAATTGTGCAGATCTTTTATCGAATTGCATTGACGCAAATGTTGTTCTTGTTTGTGGGATTTTAATTATATTTTCTTTCCTTCTTTTTAATGTTAAAGACGCATCATAGGAAACAGCCTTATGTACTTTTAGTATAGTTTGAGTAATATACAGCTTTCTAACTGAGAGCAGTGTGCTAACTTGGTACAGATTCTCAGTTGGAAATGTAAGTTTTTTAAAGTACATACATTTTATTAGAGCACGTTGTGCTCTCTCAAGTTCAATAAACTTCGTTTTAGCAGCTCCGCCCCAAATCGGGATACAATATGATAGCACTGATTGTACTAAGGCAAAATATATTTCATTCAAGAGATTCCTGGGGCGAGATGAGCTGCTAAAAACTTGTTTAGGAACTATGTGTCTTAGGGACCGAAACATCCAACTCAATTTTCTGACTCTGTTTGCCACATGATCGATTTGAGAATGCCAAGATAATCTCTGGTCAATGAAAACACCCAAATACTTAGCACATGGAACCCTCGTTATATTTAAGCAACTGCAGGTAGTGCTTTCATCATTATTACACAGATGTATTTTTATATTGAAATCTTCTCTAGGTTGTTTACGTTTACATATGCTAAAGCATATATAATTTGTTTTAGAAATGTTCAGTGTGAGTAGGTTCTTAGACAACCACCTGGCTACTTTAGCCAACCCTATTTCGGCATTAAGCCGTACCTCGTGCCAAGAATTACCCGTAAAGACTAGAGCTGTATCATCAGCATATGAGAATACCTTAGTATTTGTTAGTTGTATATTACAGAGCTGGTTTACATAGATGACAAACAGAGTAGGTCCCAGGACACTGCCTTGCGGAACACCATATGATACGTCTGTATATTCACTTGTGTAATGAGTAACCCTAACTTTCTGCTTCCTATTTGAGAGGTAGTCATTTAAGAGCTGTAGTGGAATTCCACGTACCCCAATATGTTCAAGCTTTTTTACAAGAATTTGGACAGAGACAGTATCAAAAGCTTTTTTTAGATCAAGGAATACAGTTAGACACGGTTTACCGTTATCTAATTGTTCTGTTACAATTTTAGTTAGTGCAGTTACTGCGTGCTCGGTGGAAATGCCCTGACGAAATCCATATTGTGATTTTGAGATGATATTATAATCTTTAAGGTATGTTAATGTCTTACATTGGATATTACAAAATTAGGGGGGTGGGTTATACTTTTGTCGCAGAGTGTAAATAATAGTTATATGTTGCTAGTAATACATATGTTGGGACATGAACACACAGCTAACACTATTTACGAGGCTTGTGTTATGGATACCAGATGCAAATAGCTGATACACTACACATATATTACTTTAAACACACATATTGTAAATATAAACACCCGTGACTGGAGTACATACATTCGTGCTCATCACACAAATGCATGCCCCCAGCGGGACTCGAACCCGCGACCGCTGGCACAGCAAGTAGTCACTAGTCACTACAAACTTAGACAAACGTGTCGTCAAAATACGTGATACCTATGTATGTATATCTACAACATGTTGCCACTCACCGCCAACTAACTTGGACTTCATCCAGTGCGGCCTCGCGGGCGCGTCGTCCGCGTTGGACGAGTCCAGGGTGTCCAAAGTCATGTCAGATTCTTTATCCATATTCATGTCTAAGGACGGCGACTGCGACACCTTTATCTACACACATAATAAAACAGTAACTTAGCGATATCTGTATATTAAATATTTTTTAAAAACAATGACTGTAACCTATGGTGAACAGAATATAGACACCAAAACAATAGTAGTTATAAAATTTTTTGTCTATTTGTCTGTATGCGTTGTCTGGGTGCGTTTCATGCAAAATCCACTGAACCAATTTTAACTAAATTTTGTGTAGTGATAACTTATTACTCGAGTCAACGTGTGTATACCTTTTACTACAGGAAAATAATTCTTTTCCACGTTAAAACACAATAACTGGTTCGAGTCATCCTTAGGAATTACATGACTTATGCTAGCTAAACATGATAGGTTTAAAACTTAAAAAGTTCTACAGACAGAAGTGTGCAATATCAAGCATGAGTCTATAGTCTAAGGTAAACTCGTAATAACTATTTGTATTTAAAACGTACCTAGGAATGCAACGTAAGTCGCCAGTATTTAAATACGTATTATTAATGCGAAAGCTTGTATGTGACTGTGTGTTTGTTTATTACTCCTGTACGCTAAAACAGCTGGGCGGATTTGGATGGAATTAAGTATGCAGATATGACCATGACCTGAGTTTTAGTCGGTGGTGTAGTGGCTAGCATGTACGGCTGCACATCCGGAGGTCCTGGGTTCGAATACTGGGTCGGGCTAAATTTAATTATTGAATTTTTCTGTTATGATATTCTTAATAGTCCCGAAGTTGGGAAGTTGGCTGTCAAGACATTGTTTATAATTATGTTTAATTGAAAAATCGGTAAGTGCGACTTGAATTCGTCCAGTATAAGTACTTTAGGGTTTAATTTGGTTTTTAGATTTCCTTTAATTTCTTTACTGTCTGTTAGGAAATTTGGCATATTAATGGCCTCCCAACTAATTTACAGTCATAGCAGTAAATATCACAGACTAAGCAACTGTTAGAAAACGAACTAGAAGAGAGAGATTTTACGAGCCGTGAGCCTCGCACGGGAATGTATCACAGTCAACTTTCAAACTTACTGCTTCTACAGAAATTAGCTGATTTGCAAATCATTTTAATAAAAATATATTTTTGATTAGCGATTAGCCACTAGACCAACAATGCTACTTACTACTGTCTGTAGACATAATACCACATTTGCTGTTATAATTTTTGCAGTTTTAAGATACAGCCATTTAAATATTAAATTAAACAAACAGACAGAAGTCTTAACATAGTGTTTTAGATTCTTTAAAACTACAACTTATGATATAATAACTATACAGATTAGATATGTTAAAACTAAAACTAAAAAGTCTCTTATAATGCCAATTACCAGTATGGTAATAATATTTTTAAAGTAAAAATTTATGTTCATACATACCGGTGCTGCAAAAGGTGCTTGGGAGTTCTGTGTATTGTTGAAGTTCATATTTTGCTGTCAACATACAATTCACATTAGACACATTATGTAAGAAACATCTACATATGTAATATATGTACACTCGAAAACATCATTCTTTTAGGACGGTGAGTATATGTACAAATGTGTAATATGAACAAATATTCTTTTTTTATTAAGGTAACTCTTAAAAATATTATGAAATAAAACTTACAGTTAAAGGTTTGTTGAATTGCATACTCGGTGGTGGTTGTGGAGGTCCCATATTGCCATAGCTCCCTTGTGATCCGCCGCCCAGCTGGCATAAGTTAGCTGAATTGGCTATGTGCACTTACACTCACTTCTCCACACAATTATAACCATTCATACAATAATTTAATAAACAAAAATTCACTAAAAATAACCTATTATATAAATATATACAAATTGTGTAATTATTGTGGTAACAACATAAGAGCTAAGGTCTAGTAATAATTTTCATTCAAAGAGACAATAAAAGTGGACTTTTCAGTTTAGGTTGAATTTAAACTTAAAATATAAAACAAAAAAGTTTTCTCTCAAATATAAAACATTATAACTGATTCACTGTTATCATCAATCATACAGTAAAGTGGGTGTGAGTGCACATGGACCAAATTCCAACATATTCCTAATATGATTGTAACCTTCTAAAATTGTAGCATAAATATTTCTTCCATATTAAAATTTACACAAAATTCTGCAACAATTCCAGAAGGCCCGCACATATTAGAAATCTATGGCAGCTTACTATTTAAGTCTAGAGAACCCTGTATGCCCACGAAAATCACATCTCGTGATCATAATGTTTTCTCAGCCTTTAGCCACCCTCTAAGAGACTTGCACCATATCCAAAAAGACACACCATAGGCCTAACTTAAAAACTTTTCATAATTCGCTTCATTGATAAGCAATGCCTTGATGGTAGCCACATATCGTAAGAGATGGAGAGTGCACTCTCATCACATACAATATTAGCTCATGGAACTTAGGGTAACCGCACAGTTAGAGAGTGACTAGTGACTTGTAGGGCCAGTGCCAGGGGTCAAGAGCCACGGCAGAGCGCTGTTATAACATATTTTACATTAAAGGTTTCATATGAAAAAAAGCGATAATAATAGAATTATATTCCATTGAGTATTAATTATTCCTTTATTGACATTATTCAATTATAACTTACGTTTCCAGCAGTCACGAAGGTACCCGGTGTATTAAAGCGTCCGGAATTACGGGTGTTATCTGTAAATTAATAAATATATAAGTACTACACGGTTAGAGAAAAATCAATACTATGCTAATATGCTGATAGATATTACAATTACTGAGAAATACGATGTTAAATGTTAAAGATTCAAGTGCAGCTTTAAATGTTTAAAGGGCTCATCATAAATAAAACTATGTTAACATAATGCGACAAACAAAATAAAAACAAGTAACAATGGCGGAAGGCGGACGCGTTGAAGTAAAGCGAGATATTTATCAAGATATACTCATCACACTCACACTTGTTATACGACATTATTGATTATCGTGAGATTTTAAATACTTTTAATAACTGTGATATAGAAAAGCGGTATAATTTTATTATTTGCACTGTGAGTGATTAATCATGCAACTACTAACAAATGACAATTAGATTTAGTTATGTCATGGGTGATGGGCGCAGGGCGAATCAAGTCATTTGATTCGATTAAATCGAGTCAAACCCTAAACGAGTCAATGGGGAATTTTCTATAAATTATATATGTCAATGGGGAATTTTCAGTCAATGGGGAATTTTCTATAAATTATATAATTATAATGGGGAATTATTCTATAGTATTGAGAATTTTCGAGTGAAAAACCGCGGCACAAGTTTATTTACATCAATTGAGTCAACCCGAGTTGCGACTCTCAGTAGCCATATGAACTCGAATAGCTCGAGTCAAAAAAATCCAACTACACCGCTAATGACAATGGTTTATGGTTCATGACTGTTCCTGGTCTGTGGTTAATGGAATGGTCGATATCGATACTCGCTGATTTAACCTACCCTACCCCAGCCTGCAAATTTATGATATTCGCAATGAAAAAAATACTAATCGATAGATTTTTAATAGCTCAATTCAACTACGTAGCCCTTCCAAATTGCTCACCATTAATTATAAAATTAAAAATCAATAAAGTCCTTGAAAAAAAATTCATTTATCCGTATATTCAAATTTCTATATCTTTTGATATATACAATATTTTAAATTGCTCAAAGTTCTAAAATACTGCTCAAGTTGCATTTGTAATTGCTCAAGTAGAGTTCTCACCAGCTCCACTTTCGCTGATTATTAAATAATTAAAAGTATAGTTGTAATAAATGTAACGTAGGTTAAGTGAGCGTGCGCATGCGCACCGCGCATTGTCGGTCGGCCTCGGCGGGCTTGGACAATCGTTCCAATTCAACGTCTTAATTCTGTTTCTCGGTGGATTTCTTTAAATTTATTGAATTTATGAATTGTTCACATTGTGTGATTCCACTTCAGATATTATAACATAAAGAACAGATCTGGAATCTACCAATAAATGAAAATTAATACCAACAGATAAATTAAGACAAAATCTTATGTTCAAATGCTTATTCTATTAAGGTAATAGCCATGACAGGGATCATTAGTAAAATGTTATTAACATCAATACAAGATTTTCATTTATTGGTAGATTCCAGATCTGTTCTTTATGTTATAATATCTGAAGTGGAATCACGTAATGTGAACAATTCATAAATTCAATAAATTTAATGAAATCCACCGAGAAACAGAATTAAGACGTTGAATTGGAACGATTGTCCAAGCCCGCCGAGGCCGACCGACAATGCGCGGTGCGCATGCGCACGCTCCAAAGAGTATAATTATAAACTCTCACTTAACCTACGTTACATTTATCACAACTATACTTTTAATTATTTAATAATCAGCGAAAGTGGAGCTGGTAAAAACTCTACTTGAGCAATTACAAATGCAACTTGAGCAGTGTTTTAGAACTTTGAGCAATTTGAAATATTGTATACATCAAAAGATATAGGAGTTTGAATATACAGATAAATTAATTTTTTTTCAAAGACTTTATTGATTTTTAATTAAATAATTAAAGGAGAGCAATTTGAAAGGGCTACGTAGTTAAATTGAGCTATTGAAAATCTATCGATTAGTATTTTTTTCATTGCAAATATCATAAATTTGCAGGCTGGGGTAGGGTAGGTGCTGATTTATAGATAAATACTATTGACACATTATGGCAATATTCATAATGACAAGTAGGATATATATTTTTTGGTTTTGAAGTTTGAAGCTTGAACTCTTGAGTATTTTAATACGTAAAAACATGCTATGTTGCTTATAACGTTTTAAAGTATCAATACTAGGTTGAATGTATTAAAATAATACATGGTGTAACGCGGGGTTTTTACAAACGACGCTGATCGCGGGGTATCGTGTCGGAACATGTACGATCCTGTAGGGCCGTGTTTCGTGCGATCGTATAGTTTAGGCGCCCGCGCCCCCCCCGTCTCCCGCGAACGCTTGAGCGACGGCGTGGCTCGACGAGGCAGAGAGCCGCGAGCGCCGAACGCGTAAACATCCATATCATAACGATCCTCCACGACTCTCATTTTCACGCAGTTGTAAGATTTTATGTAATTTTTTGTGTAACTTCTATAACCATAAGTTTTCTTGTCAAACCTCAAGTGAAATAAATATATTTTAATAGACTGTTGTGTACCTATTAAACTGGCGCCCATACTAGTGGCTCGAACTTTTAAACTTATATACTAGTGCGTGAAGATGCCTATGACGAGGAGAGGGGAAACGCTTCGGCAGCAGCGAGGGGACGATGTCACAGAGGGAGAGGAGAGCACCATCGAGCACGGCCACGTGGACGGAGCTGCGCGAGCCGGCTCGACACAGCAACCAGCACCCCAGCTCCCCGAACACTTCCTATCCGCGTTGATGGAAACGATCACGCGTGCGCAAGTGGAAGCAAATAGAAGCCTTATCAATTCTCTGATGACGTCCAGCAGTGAATTTAGGGCCTCCACCCCAGTCGTGGCCTCTCAAACAAATAATGTGAACAGCGGGAGTGGTACTGCTGCCAGCGTCGCGAGTGTCGACGCCAATTTTACTAAGTGCACAGCGCGGTTCAACGGGTCGTCCCAGGACGCCGAGGTATTAGAAGCGTTCCTGGATGCCGTCGAGATATTTAAGGAGTGTGCGGCCGTGAGTGACGAGCTCGCACTCCGCGGATTGCCGATGTTGCTGGAGGGTGAAGCGGCAGTATGGTGGCGCGGCGTTAAGGCGTTGGTGACTACATGGGCGGACGCGGTCGCCCGCCTACGCGCGGCGTATGGCGTGGCGCAGCCCGCGCATCAGATCCTACGGCAGATCTTCGCGACGGAGCAGCAAGAAGAAGAACGCGCCGAGTCGTTTTTGTGTAAAGTGCGAGCGTTAATTGCAAAGTTACCGTATAAGCTCGATGAAATAGTGCAAGTTGATATTTGTTACGGGTTATTACACCGACGTATTGTTAAAAGAGTTTCCCGCGATAATGTTCGTAATTTAGATGACTTAATGTATAAAACGAGGATCGCGGAGGATATGTATAAAACTCTTAAGGTAAATAAAGATAACAATAATAGTAGTAATTGTAAAAACGCGATTTCACGAACATCGGTCACTACTACCGGTCGCGATCTCACTCGATCGAGTTTTGATAGTACGAACGCGATCACTCCGCGTAGTAATAAAAACAATAGGCCCCGATGTAGTTATTGTAAATTATTTGGGCATATTAGTGAAGAATGTCGCAATCGTGAGAAGGTTATGATTAATAATAATAATGATAAACATTTGTATAGCGATAGCACGCGTAAAAATATACGTTGTTACGGTTGTGGCAAGGAAGGTGTCGTGAGGTCGAAATGTGATATTTGTGTGAAAACTTTAACGAATTCGGATGGTAAAACTTCGTTCAATAATTTGGATTTAGATTTTAATAATCACGATAATTGCGTTAATAATAATAATAGTAGTATAAGTAATACAAGTGCGTCATGTATTAAGTTAACTAACGTGAGTACGCGTGAATCGTATCCTATGGTTAATATATCTGTTATGGGTCGTACCGGAGTGGCGATAGTGGATACGGGCGCTACGCATAGTATTGCGAGTCCTTTATTATATAAAATTTTAGTAGACTTGGGAGTACACTTTAGTAAAGTTAAACGATTTGTACACCTGGCTGACGGTACACAAGGGTGGAGAGACTTGTTGACGGCCGAGGTAGGTATAGATATCGAAGGCCATAGTGTAATGTGTCAATTACTAGTGTTGCCAGGTTGTGACACTAGAACACTTCTAGGTATAGATTTCTTGTCTCGGGCCAGAATGGTAATAAACGTTGCCCATCGCACTTGGACATTTATGGATAGTCCCGGACAGTGCTTTAATTTTATTTATTCGTACACACTTGACCCTGCAGGTACAGATTTATTGCACGCCGCATCTGATGAGCTGATGTTGCGCGCAGACGAAGGATCTATGTTAACCCAGGAGCAACAGAATAGACTTAATGCGTTTATTGAGGATCGCGCGCCGCAATTTGCACGCGATGGACCGGCGACGGAGTTCGCCACGCATCGAATTAAGGTGAGTCCACAACAAGAACCAATTGCTTGTCCACCATATAGAATGTCACAGAGTAAGAAGGAGGCCTTGCAGAAGGAGCTTGAAAAGCTGCTGCGAGATGACATCATTGAGGAGTGTGAGTCGCCGTGGGCCTCTAACGTGGTATTGGTGGGGAAGAAGGACGGTAATGTAAGGCTCTGTATTGATTACCGGAAATTGAACGCGGTGACCGAGCCAGACCGATACCCGCTTCCACGTATCGAGGACATTCTGCATGCAGCTAAGTCCAGTGAATATATGACTACTCTGGACCTTCGTTCAGGTTACCATCAGGTAAGTGTCTGCCCAGAGGACCAAGATAAGACTGCGTTTACGACGCCACTTGGTACCTTTAGATTTAAGAGGATGCCTATGGGACTGCGGAATTCCGGAGCAACCTTTCAGAGGTTGATGGACCGATTCCGGTCCAACCTGAAAGAAGTAGCGCTCCTAGCGTATTTAGACGATCTGATACTGCTGTCGCCGGGACCTTTCGAGAGACACCTGGCTGACCTGGAGGCGGTCTTTGATCGGTTGGCTATGTTTAACTTAAGAGTGAACAGAGGTAAGAGTTTTTTTGCGAGAGAATCTGTTAAGTTTTTAGGACATGTTATTGTACCAGGCGGAATCCAGGTGGATCCTGACAAGACGGCGGCTATTGATAATATGCCCGCCCCTCAGAATGTTAAACATTTAAAATGTTTCTTACAAACGGCGAGTTGGTATCGCCGCTTTATTAATAATTATGCTGAAATCGCGAGACCTCTTACGACACTCCTGAAGAAATCAAGTGCCTGGCGATGGGACGCCGAGCATCAGGAGGCGTTTGAGCGGATAAAGCGTCTCCTCGTATCCGCTCCCATTCTGCGTCAGGCGGACGAGTCGAAGCCATTCGTTCTCTGCACCGACAGTAGCGCTTACTGCCTCGGGGCTGTTTTAATGCAGGGGGAGGGACACGATGAGAGACCGATCGAGTACGCAAGTCGTCTTCTCACTAGTGCAGAGAAGAATTATTCCACGACGGAGCGAGAGGCACTCGCCGTCGTGTGGGCGTTAGGTAAGTTCCGCGGTTACGTAGATACTGCGAAGGTAACGGTTAGGACGGACCACCAGCCTTTGCGATGGCTAATGAGTCAGAGGTCACCTAGTGGTCGGCTGGCTAGGTGGGCCCTAACATTGCAAGAGTTCGACCTCAACATCCAATACACACCGGGACGCTCGAACGTGGTAGCGGATACGCTTTCGCGACCAGTTTGTGCTGAGAACCAAGGTGAGTGCGAATTATGTATGACAGTCGTTGACTTACCAAAGAGGAGTAGTGGTGATATCCGCAGCAATCAACTGTTAGATCCAGAGATTCGCAAAATCATTGAGGACATGGAGTCTGACGAACCTTCTAGGGGGAGGCCATGGTCCGATCGTGGGTACACTATTTCCGATGGTATACTTTATAGATATAGCTTAGAGTCAGACGATGGAGAAGAATGCTGTATTGTTGTGCCAGAACACGAACGCAGGCAAGTGATGACTGAACTCCACGACGCGCCTACGGCAGGACATTTCGGCGTGGAACGCACGTTAAGCCGTGTTCGCGCTAGATATTATTGGCCAGGTATGCGCACATTCATTACTAACTATATAAAGGAGTGTGTGCCGTGTCAAAGGTATAAAGCTGACAATCGCAAACCTGCAGGTCTGCTGCAAACGCCTGCTGTGTCAAGGCGGTTTGAAGTAGTCTCCGTAGACTTATTTGGTCCGCTCGTAGAAACACCAAGGAAGAATAGGTGGGTGTTAGTCGTAGAAGATGTGTGTTCGCGCTGGGTGGAATTGTTTCCATTAGAGAACGCAACCAGTGCAGAGTGTGCACAAATACTGGCGAACGAGGTGTTCCTTCGATATGGAGTTCCTCGACGGCTCATCAGTGACAACGGTGTACAATTTGTGAGCGAGGTCATGCAACAGGTTTGTCATGTTTTAGGTATAAGCCAAGCACTTACACCCTTTTATCACCCAGAGGCTAATCCCATAGAGCGGAAAAATAGAGATATTAAGCCTCAGTTGGCTATGCTTGTAGGACACGACCACTCTACCTGGGATTTGCATCTAGCGTCTATTAGGTTCGCCATGAACTCTGCTGTTACCAGCAGTACAGGGTTTACGCCAGCATATCTTACCTTCGGTAGAGAACTGCGAGCTCCGTCCGATTCTGCGAGGGATATGAGGGCCATTGTCGAAAACGACAATTTTGTACCTAATATTACCCCATACCTAAAGAAGATGGCCGCGACCTTGGATGAAGCTAGGGATATCCACGAAAAAGCGCAGGCCGTTCAGAAGGAGGCTGCTGACCAGAGACGGCGATCGCCGCCAGAGTATAAGGTAGGCGATATGGTGCTACTTAAAACGCAGGGGCCGAACGATGCAGGACGTGGACAGACGGCGAAGTTAATCCCACGCCGGGACGGCCCATACAAGATAGGTAAGGTAGTTAGTCCCACTACGTACGGGTTAGAGAACGTACAGACCGGAAGAGATATAGGGAAATATCACGTTTCGCACCTCACGCCATTTACCGGCCAGATAGAGCCTCCCGTTAGGGAAAAACGTAAACGTGGTAGGCCGCGTAGATACCTAGACTAGCCCAACTGTGAGGACACTTAGTTAGGCTAGAGGGGGAGAGTGTAACGCGGGGTTTTTACAAACGACGCTGATCGCGGGGTATCGTGTCGGAACATGTACGATCCTGTAGGGCCGTGTTTCGTGCGATCGTATAGTTTAGGCGCCCGCGCCCCCCCGTCTCCCGCGAACGCTTGAGCGACGGCGTGGCTCGACGAGGCAGAGAGCCGCGAGCGCCGAACGCGTAAACATCCATATCATAACGATCCTCCACGACTCTCATTTTCACGCAGTTGTAAGATTTTATGTAATTTTTTGTGTAACTTCTATAACCATAAGTTTTCTTGTCAAACCTCAAGTGAAATAAATATATTTTAATAGACTGTTGTGTACCTATTAAAATGGTTATATATAAATTATAGAGGAATTCTAGAAATTATGATTATTTAATAACATTCCTCGTTTTCACAAAGTACAAAAGAGTTAACAAAACTGCTGCTAAGAACGTTTTTATTCTTTACTTTGAGAAACAGGTGTACCGTGTAGGTAAGGTGGTGGTGGTTAGTAAAGTGTAAACCACAGACAACGGTACGTAGAATAATAATTTGAGTAAACGTCACTGTTTTGCTAATGTCAAATGTCAACAAGCGACTAAAATAGCGTCAATCATGAATCAAGTATCAACGACAACGACATCGGACATCGCAAAGAGTATAGTTATAAACTGGGACATCGTCTATTTCCAGATCCAGTCGTTTTCGTTTATCCTTTCACGAACAAAAAGTTGTAATTTACATATCAATAACGAGTTTTAAAACTAGTTTCCATTTTTTAAAGTATTCTCCTAGTCTATATGCTTAATTTAAGTATCTATTTTGCGCAAACGCTTATCTTCTCATTAATAATGGACTGTTGAAAATACCACGAACTGATTGCTGTAAATTGTTGACAAGCTGATTAAAGCTAATTGAAAATGGTATGTGTTTCTAAATATATTTATTGGTTTGACCTGATGATTGTTATATCCTTATTTTGCTTTGAGCATATTGTTTTTAAATAACAGTGCAGTTATGTTTCATGCTTAAGAAGTTATGAAACATTAAGTTATATTAGTCACAAGTAGTTTAATCAGTGTAAACATTATGGAAGTTTTATAGTAAACAATATCTTGAACTGTCATTATTTTACTGAAACCAGTAAGAAGTTAAATATTATAATATGTATTTTATGAGTTTGAGAATGGAATTTTATAAAAAAAAATACTGTAATTGTAAAAGTGATATTAGCTTAATTGTAGATTATTTTAACAGCACTTATATTTAAATATTGAATGCTATTATTTACAATGTGTTATACTTAAATCTATACAGATAAATAAAATTGAAGTGTCTGTTAAATGTCAAAAGAACAGCTTTTTACTATTAAAAAAAGTAAAACCGACTTCCAGGCATTAAAATGTAAAAAATAACTAAATGGGGGTTTTCATATAGAAACCTAATTAGATATTTTTGAAGTCGGTGCCAGCCAACGCATAGGAAATCTAATATATTTTGATACGTAAAATACATATTTACCTATTAGATAATCATATCTTAAAATATTGTCTGCTGGCACCGACTTCGAAAATATCTGATTAGGTATCTATTCTAAATGAAAACCCCCGTTTAGTTATTTTTTACATTTTAGTGCCTGGAATTTGGTTTTAATTTTTTTAAAAAGTTTTATTTTTATATTTTTAGTGTAGATATAATAAGGAGGTAATTTGTAGGAAGAAAGTTTTTAATAACATATTCGATTAAATAATTTGGTTTAAAAAAATATTTATTGTTGATTTTTTTAAAAACCGCTTGACCGATTTTGATAAAATTTATATAGGACCACCTGGAAAGTACACCCTTTCAAACAAATCAAAAATTTTCCAAATCGGTTCAGGTGTCTTCGAGTAATCGGTAAACTATACCTAGGGACAAACCTAAGCGAGAGTGAGTTGCTATTTGCTAGTAAACAATAGTGTATAGTATAATATGGGTTATATTTATTTAAGGTAAAATGTGTATTAATTTTTCCATTTCTACTTCATTAATAAAGTATTATTTAGGTATATTATATATTATTGTAACAATTTTTTATTAATCAATCTAATCTTACAATATCAATATGTTTGTATCAGTATCAAAGTTTTTCTTTTTAGGTGATGTCAATGCTAATATTGTGATGTCATCTGTCCACTGTGTGGTGGTGTGGGAGTGGCAGCATGAGGGCCAATGGCTGCCTCATTCCCCTGGTGTTGCAAGGACTCTTGAAAGAGCATATGCCAAAAAACTAACAAGAGTAGTACTATCTGATGCTGAACCTGAGTTAAAGGGACACTATGTCAATCTACGCACACTTACACAATCTTCTGATACTCCAGGTATGTTTATGTTATGTTATAAAATATATGTTAGATTAATTAAATTTTTCAAATAATTCACTAAAAATCACCTATCAGGCAAGTTTATATAACTATAAAGGCCTATGCCCACAATCACTTTTTAACAAATTGTTGAAGCCTTCTAATGTAAGAAGATTTACTGTTATTTTTAATACTATTCATGAATTTGATGCTCACCTTGTAGTAATGATTCTTAGTTTAATAACTAAACAACTTTAGGCATAGAGGGTTTATTTATTATTATATCTTCAAATACAATAAGGGGCGAGCACTTTCTGCATCATACATATATATCCACCATGGGGGGAACGGGAACCGACGCCTTCGTGAGATGGCTACAGATTATTAATAATAGTTGTCAGGGACACCGGACAACCTTCCGTGATTGTAACAATTCATTTCACGTACACTACACATCTATCTGAATTTTAGACTAGTAAACTCTGTTTAAATCCATTGTTACGTGAATCGTGTGGACGTCAGAGTGACAAACACATATTCATATTTATAATATTAGTATGAGCAAAATATATAATATTTAAAAATGCATGCATATATATTATGTGGTTTCTTCATAATGTTGTTTTGAAATTCCAGGAGTGAGTGAGTGTGCAGTGCGGCGCTCTTGCTACAGTGTGCAGTCGCCGGGCGGGCGCGGCGCCAGCTGGGAGTGGGCGCGCCTGGCTGACCCGCCGCGAGCCGTGGAGCTCAGATATGATCCTTTGCCCATGGAGGTACTGTTTCATTGTATTGGGGAACACAAACATATCTCTCATAATGATTTGAAAGCTGTAACGTTATATCAATATAATTGATTTATATGATGAAAAGCTATAATTTTAATTTACGTAGATACCATAAGGTAATAAACAGATAGCATAGATTGTGTAAATATATGCAAGTAAACAACTTTTAAAATATGACTATTTATCTTTAAAGCAAAATGCTTGTGCAAAAGCTTATTGCACTATACACTTATAAAAGAAGCAATTTTTTTTTTACTTTTACTAAGACATAATATAGAAAACTGTCGTGATAGGCTCGCTACGCTCAGGTGCGTGATGTGTTCTTAGATGGCTAACAGAGGCCTATATACACTCCTTTGCAAAAAAAAACGGGCATTTTTGATTTATTCGATGCAACAAAATATGCGACTGTGTATATTGACTTCTTGAAGTTTCCTCCTAACAGTCCATACGCTAACACTCACATTTCTAACATCTTTAAGATTGTTTTCGATGTTATTGTAAGTAGACTTCCGATTTCGTAAAGCTTGGCTCACAATATATCGATCGTCTCTGGGCTCAGTACATCGTTTTCTTCCTGATCCCGGTCTTCTTTTCAAAGAATCGGTTTTTTGAAACCTAGTCCAGGTCCTCTGAACAGTGGAACGACTGACACCAAACCGTTCCGACACATAACATTGAGTACAACCTTTTTGAAGAAGAGTCTTGTTTGCCATATTACGGTATAAAATTTATCACGAATAATCAATTTAAACAATTTTACATCAATATCAATTCATTAAAATTACATAAAAGCCTTTTTTATTTATTTATAGCTCAATATCTAAACACAAACTGCGAGCAAATGATCGAATCGAATGGAATAATTTTAAATAACTTTGAAATTTTCAAATTTGGAACATTTTATTTTACTTGCCAGTACTTTTTAACACATAAGAAATTGTTTCTAATTAATTGAATGCATATAAAACCTCTCTTGTTTAAGATTTCCATAGTTATACCAAAAAGTTTTGGGTGCCCGTTTTTTGCAAATGGGTTTATTACTCCAGATCATAGTACATATATCGGTGCACTAAATTGCGTCTAGATTCATCCAGCCCTCTCAATGTGAAGGAGTAACAATCATACAAACTCATATGCGGATATTTCAGGTGCAATGCCGGCTAGAGGAGGCGTGGTCGCTGGGGCTGGACGCGGTGCAGTGGGAGGGCTGGGTGCTGTGCCTGGCCAGCATGACGGCGCGCGGCGGCGGCACGGCGCCCTTGCGCCTGCTGCGCCGCGCCGCGCACCCGCCCTACCCGCTCACGCGCTCCGCCCCCGCGCAGCCGCCGCCCGCCCAGCCCGCACCGCCCGCCCTGCCCGCGCCGCCCGCGCCGCCCGAGCGACCTGGACTAGATGGTGAGGATGGTTCTGCTCCCATGGTAGGAAATCCTATAAAGAATGAAAACGAAATAAGCTATCTCATGAGAATTTCTTGACAATAAACACCAATATATTGCTCGACCCGGGATCTGAACCCAGGATCTGTAGCGATACATGCTATTCATTAGATATAAAAGCTTATTACACCGTCATGGAATTCTTTGAAGACGTCAATGTGTGAGACTAATATCTGGTTGGGTCTTACATAAGATAAGTAGAGAATTATTGTATTGCAATAATGTAAACAAATATTATTTTAAAAGGGCAACTGCAGTAAAGTTTCTCTCTGGCTTTTCTCAGCAGAACTCCCTTCCGAGCCGGTGGTAGATTCCTCATAGACTTACATACTGACATTTAATTTAAATTTTAATAATGTAAAAACTGACAATTCAAAAGTGCTTGTAAAAATCTACTTGAACAAAGTATATTTCGATTTGATTTCACTCACTTCACTTCAGATTCGTCCCTAGACAAAAACAAGTCTATCCCACCGGAACCATACATTTTTCCGTTTTATTTCATTTTATATTTATTATTATTTTGCTTCCCAGGTCGTCGACCGCGTATCCCTCAACAGCACACAGGCTCCAGTGTTCACTCAGTGCAATCGATCCAGTCGATGCAATCCATTCAGTCGGTGCAATCCATACATTCAATGAAGTCGGTCCAGTCGGTGAAGTCGGCGCCGGCGCCAGGCGCGCGCGAGGCGCGGGAGCACGGCGCCCGCAGCGCCCGCAGCGCCTCGCCCAAGGACAGGAAGCCCGGCTTGGCGAGGCAGATATTACATAATCTGAATATATTCAGTAAGTATATTGTAAAACTTTTGTTTACAATAACATAACGATGTTATTGTTAAAAAATTAAGACTTAAATCGTAAGTATTAAACTGCGGTCCTCTTTGGCTTTTTATTAAACATAATTAATTATTAGTTATTAAACCCCATCGTTGTTAGCACGTCGTCGTTAAGCAATAACGTGAAGAAATAACAATTCATTCCTCCACGTCAATGAGGCATCTTATGTATTATAATGTTTTTGTATTCAATATTATACTTTCTAATACTATTCAATATATCGATTCATAGATCATATCTAAACTCCTTCCTATACTTACCCCCATGAACGAATTAACCACTGGACCAGACATATAAGCGGACGTACCTTTAACGGTCATGTCAGTAACCAGGGAATTTTAGCCTAGGTCGTTTGTTTTTTGTGTCAGTCTCAAGCACTTACTTGTCAAAAAACATCTCCCAAAAATGACTAAATGTTCTGTTAAATGATGTAAAAACTATAACCGCGGAAGCAGCACTATTTCTTTTCACTTGTAAATACATTATTTTATTACATTTATTGTTATATATCACAATATTTAATTAAATGCAAAATAAAATGTCATATTATCCTACTATGTTAAATATAGTCGATATTTCTATGTATTGTTGACATCTGACAACCATTATAAACGGGTTGGATTATACCAATCAGAACAAATGACAAAACTGTCGAGTGAGTCCATTTGACATCGACTAGTGCTTGACAATGTCGAAAAATATATCGATATTTGACGAAATAACTGAACGAATTGTGTTATTTGTACAGTACAATAACATAAAATACTTTTATCACAGTATCCTACAATCTGATGAAAATAAATTTACAAAAATATTTTCTAAATCAAATAAAAATATAAATGCAAAAATTATAATTAGTATGTGTACTTATTTTTTATTTTATTTTATACCACATTTATATACTTTGGAATATTATTTCATTGTAATAATAATAAAGATCATTTTATTTCAACACATAAATTACACAAAATCAAACAATAATATTTTAGCACTAAACTTCTGGGTTGGCGATTTGTAATAAAACACTTTACCACTTGCACTAATTATTTTACTTTCACGATCCAACACTCACTTTTTCACAATTTGCAATCACTTTTTCTTTTTCCTAATTTCACAAATGTTTATTAATAACTGAGCAATATTAGGACAGTGTCACATTTTTATAACTACCTGAGACAATCAATTGCCAATTAAAATAGTTCAATAACAGAATCAACAAAATCACTTTATTTAATTAAATTAGCTTAATATTTTTTTTAATCTTTACAAAATATTATATATTAATGGAATATACACCCGATATTCATTTGTTTATTAACATTATTATAGGCTAACAGAGTGTTGCCATCAATGCCATCGTATTTATATAAATCAAATTAAAAAATAATTATTATTTAACACATTATTATTGCCTCTTTAATTCATTTATTTTAATTTATTATAATAAATACACATATTTTAAATTAAAAGATGTAAAATATGATGACTATGCTAACCAATGTCTAAAATGTCATTCATTGGTTCATCGATATATGTATTTTATTGATTACGTTCAAACACTAGAAATATTGTATTGTGTATCAGTGTTTATAATAATGTAATAAAATCTTTGTGTGCGTTATGCGTCACTTGGTTGAACTAGTTTTCATACATTTGTATTTTATGTCAGGTCCAGTCTCTAATTCGTCCATGCTTACCCCCTAACAACACAAGTATTAATATTTTAGTACCACACCAGCTAATTGGAATACCTTTTCAGGTAACAACAGCAAGTCAGCAGCCGCAGCAGCGGCGGTGGCGGCGGCGGCGGCGGCGGAGGAGCGGCAGGAGGAGCAGCGGCACACGGACACGGAGTGCGGCAGCACGCGGTCGACTCGCCGCCACAGCGTCGACACCGTCTCCACCTACCTCAGCCACGAGAGCAAGGAGAGCTTGCAGGTGCGGGGGGGGGGGAGGGGGGGAGTCTATGTACCTTTAGATATTTATCACCTGTACTCTAAGGGCCCATGCACACGATGCCTTATTAATGCTATGATCTATTTTTTTTATCACGCCAATAAAGTGTTTACTGTCAGAAATAATAATAGCTTTAATTCAAATTCAAAATATTTCATTCAACATTAAATAATTACATATTTTTTTAATGACCGTTGATTTACTTTATCAGGTATTGTTAGCCAGTCAGGGACGCACCCGAGCAAAGCGAGGGTAAGTCGGTGGTATAATATACATAATATTACAATAGGTTTTTTTTATACTTGCAGCAAGCGTCTGTAGGTGAGCTGCTGAACTGCAGCACCGGCAGCGACGACGTGTTCGAGCCGGCGCGCAGACTTGACGATGCCGGTACTTATCCACTTATCTACTGTCTATAGTTGTTTAACTGCCTCAGTAGACTGGTCAGTAGTATAGTATGTAGAAGTAGGCTGCATATCAAGAGGTCTTGGGTTCAAAACCCAGGTTGAGAAATGAAATGAAACTTTATTCAAATAGACTTATTTCGAGCACTTTTGAATCGTCATTTGAGCTAAAACGTATTGAGTCATTGTATAAAAAAATCCTAGTAACATCTCAGAGTTGGGAAGGTAGATTTACGCGAATATTTGACATTTTATTTAAAAATATTTTTTCAGATTTCTTAGTGAATTTATTTTGATTTTAGGGAGATTAAGCATTCGAAACCGAAAATTAAATTTAATCCGAAATTAGTTGTTTAAAATATAGTATTATTTATTCGTTATAATAATATTATATGTATATGTGCAGAGTGCAAGCTGAGCCAGGAGCTGCAGCAGTTGTCGCTGCGTGGCGGGGAGGGCGGCGAGGAGGAGGAGGTGTGGCGCTGGGTGGCGGCGGTGGCGCGGCCGCAGTGGGGCGCGCTGTGCTGGGCGTGCGCGCGGCCGCTGGAGGCGGGCGGCGCCGCCGTGGCGCTGGCGCTGTGCCACCATGCGCTGCACCTGCGCTGCCTCGTCGACCACCTCGACGGCCTGCGCGACAGCGGCGTGAGTCCAACTGTTTACTATTGTCGTTTCATTAGCAACGATATCGTAACTGGGCCTTCGAGCCGAGGTTAAAAATGAAAATGTGATACTTTTTTAGATTTACACGCATATTTGACATTTCAAATAAAACTACCTTTTCGGTTTTTTCGCGGATTTATTTTGATTTTTGGTTGTACGCTTGGAATGTACGGAAATGTGCTTTATTCCAATTTTAGAGTAACTTAAGAAAAAATAAGTTTACGATTTTGCTTTAGGATAATTCATACTTTCCACTGAGTCTAAATCAAATATCCTAACTAGTTTTTACCTTGTTTAGAAATTCAGAAACAATCCTCGATGAATGTGCTATAATAAGTAATTAATAATGCACATTCTCAGGAAAGTCCGTACATCGAGTGCCTGGTGTGCGGCGAGGAGTACGGCGTGCGGCGGCGGGCGGGCGCGGGCGCGGGCGGAGAGCAGCCGCCCGGCTCCATGGCGTGGCGGCGCCAGCCCGTGGCGCTGCCGGGGCACGACCACGCCGGCAGTATACTCGTCACGTACAAGTTAGTATAAGTTGGAGAATAGCTCTTGAGTCACTATTGACGATTGATTAAATACAAAAATTGACGATGTGCCGGATGACAAGTGTTTGTGCAAAAGCTTATTGATTTGATTTGAGTGTTAGGAACTTAGGAGACCGCTTAAATGACTTACTAAATTCAGAGACAAAAAACAATATTGAGTCATTTTTTATTAAAATATTATATAGCGACTCACCCTGGCTTCGCTCAGGTTCGTCCTAGGTACATTTTAACGCTTAGTATGGAATAGATATATTTTTTCAAAAAAAATATTTCGTGAATTTTTCGATGTCTTAATAGTTATTCTGCTATTCGGGGTGAAGACAAATCTAACAAAATAAAGATCACAAAAATCGATCCAGCAGTTCTCGAGTTACGTGTTAACAAAACCGACTTTTTTTTAATAATATTCTATAAATATAATATATATATGCATATTTATCATAATAAATTTGTGACTATAATCATGTAATTATTATGTTAAATATGCCTATATAATGATAAAGTTCCTCAAGGAGAGTGTATTTGATGGGGCGCGGTGTTCCAGCTTCCAGTCGGGGCGGCAGGGCGCGGCGCACCCCGCGCCCGGCGCGCCCTACTACGCCGTGGGCTTCCCGCGGCACTCGCTGCTGCCCGACACGCCCATGGGCCGGCAGGTAACACTTATTCTGCCGTCTGTGAATCTATACATATAAACACAATTGAAGTGTCTGTCTATGAAAATAACTAAATTTAAGTTATTTATAATTATATATGATACTAGTACCTAAATAATCCTTTCTAAAATGTGTGTCGGTCTGTCTGTTTGTCTTTCTATTTGTTTGCAGTAAACTTTGGAACGGCTTAACTGATTGTAACGAAACATTAATTGAAAGATAGAGAAGTTTTTAGAGCTAAATATAGGGACGCTTTGTTCTGGAAATATTTCAAGTTTCAACGCGAAAATCGAAAACCCACTTCCGCTAGTGGGGGTGCCCCTAGGAGCATATTATTAACTTAATTGATAATATATTTTTTTTACTAAATTTAGTTTATAATTTTTCTTTGTCCATCAATGTAAGCCGTATTAAAATCTTTACAGTACTCATAAGATTAGTCTGAATAAACATAATTTTACTTTATAATATATAAATTTACTAGCATTACCCGCGGCTTTTCCCGCGTTCAAACTTCTAAAAAACAAACTATGGCACACCGACAGCAGCGCCACTTATCGGGTCCATTTGTGTTTTCAAACCATCCAGAATCCCATTGAAATATACACACAAAATTTCATCCAAAGCGGTCCAGTCCTTTAGGAGGAGTAAAGTGACAAACACACGTACAGAAGAATTATATATATTAAGATTTTTAAATTGGGTTAATATTATAATTGGAAAGTTTTTTGTTTATTTGTTTTTTTTCATTCTGCTTAAACGGCTGGATAGATTTGGATGATATTTAGTTCAAATACATATGTATATACCATGATCTGAAGTGAAGTGATGACAATATAGGATACTGTGACGTATCGACCTAGTAATGTTTTTGTATGAAGCTAGTATATTTATTTCGCACCCAACTAGCTTAATCATTCGTTTAATAAGTGGCCTAGCCTTTTCATTGAATGGCGCCGTTTAATGAAAAGGCCCAAATACGAAATATTTAATATTGAGGATGCTTTATTTATGTAAAATAATTTAATTAATGTAATAAAAAGAAATAATTGTGTATTGTATTATAGTGTATAGAGAGTAGGAGGGTAATGTTAAGTACGAAAGAAAACCCAACGAGTGATAGTTTTGATTTATTACCTGAAGACACACTGGTACTTAAAGCAATAAAATAACATTTTATAGGCGCCGGAGGATTGCATGTGTGCGGGAACACAACACGTAGCGTAATTGGCATAATGTATTATTTTACTTCCTGTGTAGCATACATATTGAATGAACAGTTAATCGTACGTATTACTTGCAAAGAAGGATGGGTTAGGTTAGGTTGGGACTTTAGCTAAAAACGACTAGAACTGTAAAAAAAAATGTTTTAGAAGAATCCAAATATTAAGTAAAAATTTATAAACTTAATTTCAATGACTGGGCTAGATAAGTCATTAAACGATATTGAATTAAGTCATTTGCCGAGCTATTAAATTAAACGTCGGAATGTCATTTAGATCGCTATTTAAACTGTGCCGTTCAATGAAAAGGCTAGGCCACTAATTAAATCACCGACTAAGCTAGTCGGCTGCGACGTGTATACTGTACAGCGTGTGTGTGTGTGTGTGGGTGAAGGTGCTGTCGGCGCTGCGGCTGGCGTGGGAGCGGCGCGCGCTGTTCACGCTGGCGCGCTCGCGCACCACCGGGCGCGAGCACGTGGTGGCGTGGCGCGCGCGCCCGCCGCCCGCCGCGCCGCACCACTACCTGCGCGCCGACCCGCTGCCCGCCGCGCTCGCTGCGCTCGCGCGCCTGCTGCGCGCCGACACGTAGCCACGCGAGGCGAGGCCATACAAATATAATATCAACGTATGAATATATACATTTATACAAAGAGTATAATGCAAATATCTATACAATTATTTTGTTTATATAAGCGATATATTATACAGACTTATTTTATTATTACATACATATATAATTATATGTTATATGTATTGTGCATACTTTTATAATCTCGCGGATAGTTTTACTCAAATGATAAACCATTTTTCTGAATGATATTAATTGACAAGTATTTGTAAACACGACAAATTAAAGAGGCCAGTTAAGTTAATTTTAGACAGTATTTTTTTTATTTTGATTTAATATTTTGCATTCCACTAGCAATATTTACATTTGTTTAGCTATAAGATAATAAAAATGAAATTATTATAACAAGTATTTTTATATAAATATTTTAGTTTTTACTTTATATGTGAATTTTTATATTCTAACTTATGATTAACAAACTTGTGTAACAATATTGGCTGCATGTTTATTCAATTTAAAAGTGGAACGATACATTTTTCATTAAAAAGAAAAAAATACACTTGAATCTCAATGATAAACATAAAGAAAGTGGCATATCTTTGACTAATAATATACATAAATATCTGGCTGAATATGTATAAAAAATATGGCTTTTGCAAGTAGATAGCATTCAAATTTACAGTATTCTTCGTGAAATATAACCTGATAGTGCACAAAGAAATCAATTTTAAAATTTAAATCCCCAAGGACTTAATCCAAACCCTTCTTATATTTTCAAAATTTATTATAGAAGAACAATTCATAAATGTATCTACTTACTGCGTTTTAAACACTATATCGTCACATGTACACACGTTTTATTTACAAACAGAACTGACAAGTCGCATGGCAAAATATATGACATACATCATGACATATCACGTTTATATCTAACAATGATAACAAAAGCTAAACAATAAATGTCTCATAATAATTTTTTAGATTTACGCGAATATTTCAAATTTAAATAAAACTATCTTTAACAAAATTTAAAATTAATTTCTCTAAATTGTAAAAATTATCACCATATTGATACAATAATTTTTATATATCTCAAATGTTATCGAATTATAAGTGCTATTATATACCCACGCTATGATATGGAAGTATTAAAAAAAAAATAAAAGAGTGCGTTGTATTAATATGTACATTGTACACGCCATCGATCAAAAAAGTACTAGATACACAATCATTGACAAAAAAATATCCTCACCAAATGAGCGCTCATTTAAACATTTGAGCGCGCTTTTAATTTTTTTTCTCAAAAACAACTTTAAGCATTACATTTAAGGTTCAATTTACATTGTTGTATATTTATTTCAACTAGAATAATTACCTAAACACAATTGGTGATAGTTTTAACTAAGAGAACTTTTGCATGGCATTGTGTATCTAGTACTTTTTTGATCGATGGTACACGCGCAAGAAGAGAAACTTCTGTAGGTTATCGGTACTTTTTATTAAATTCTATTTATGTTTTAAATAATTAGTATAGGAGACTACTAAAAAAATTAGTTTATTTTTTATTTTTCACGTAGTTAACAGACGATGTTGAGACAAAATTTAATTTTCTATTAAAATATTTAACGATTCAGTAAATTATACACTCCAATAAAATAACTGTATAAAAAATAATTTCAAGTAAATATTTTTTTAATAATATTCATTTGATATGATTCCATCGCTCCTTTTATAAAATAAATGAAAGAAATATTTTTTTATAAATATCTATTTTTATTTCATTTATTCTATGAAATATTCATATAATAGTTTAAATAATTTCAAATTGACTAAATAGTCATTGTCTCGGTCAGTCAGTGAATAAATATTTCCTTCCGTTACAAAAATCGTAACGCTATATTTTTTCCCTCTCATACGCGCCTAAACAAGTTTCACTTCAAAAATATAGAAATTTTAGAATAAAATAAAATTTTATAGGATTATTTATTATGTTAATTTAACATTTTAGAGCTATTAAGTTTACAATTGTGTAAGTCTTCCAAAATGTATTATTTTTTTGATGTTTAAGACTAATATGGTATAGTGTTAGAGTATTTACGACTGACATACAAACGTCACGTGTCACGTGACACGCTGTTTGTATTAGAATATATCTTGCCAGCAAGTGCCTTTATTAGATATGTAAAATGTAAATAAAACTTAGCTCTTTATACGAATATATAAGTTTTATAGTTGAAAATGTATTGCGATCTATGTATCTGGCTAAGAAATAATATAGACGGAGTGTCATAGCACTAAATATGAAGACAAACAATGTTTTAAAGTAGTATATAAATGACAATTTGTATACTGAGTGATAAGTAAATAAATGTTAATAAATAAAAATGGCTAACGGACTTTATTATATAATGAAGAAAAAATATTTAATAAGCTAATTAAAAAGAACTTAAAAATGTAAAAGAATATAATATTATTTATTCATATTTTATTCTCAAAAATTGTATATTAATTTAAGCTATGTAAACATTATAACTTTCCTTATTCTTTAAAGAAAGTAAAAGATCTGTACGGTAAAATCGAGAATAGTAGCATAAACAACAAATCACGCTACTATATTTGACTTTCATATTTATTTTGGCGACCTCAGTTTATATAATTATTTAGTCTGAGCTCTACATATACATACAATAAAATGGAAACGGGGACACATTTGTGCCTTGAAAATTTAAGAAAAATAAATTGTTTTGAATTCAAAAGAAACAAAAAAAACCATTTACCATTTTGAACCCGTATCCGTTATATTGTATATGTATTTTGTATGTATTTTGAATATTCTACTAATGTACGATCTTTATTACTTATATTTTTTTATAAAACAAAATAATTGTTGCAAGTTATGTCTTCCTTAAACAGATCTTCCGACACGAAGCTTTACTAGCAATGCTGGGTTTTAAAATAAACTTAATAATAAATTTAAGTATTATGTAGATTATTATACTTTAGTCGTTGAACGAAATTATTATGACAATTTATTATATAATATACATCATGAAAAATATTAGCATTTTGTTTTATTATTTGGATAATAACTCCTTATTTGTGCTTATTATTGTTATATAAGTTATAATTTGCTTTTTGGTCATTGATTCCAAACCGAAAAGCACTTCGGTTCAAAGTTTTGGTTACGTTCTTTAACCGGTTAAATCTGGGAGAACGGTTTATGACTAATTTAGGTTCCATAACCAAAATTAACCGGTTAAAATGAGTTTTTGTGCGTTTACATTTAGCTTTCTCTGAGAATAACCGTTAATCATTATTATTTTGGTTTACTAAACCGTTCGTTTGTATTATCCGGTTAAAGAAGGACCGATGAATTACCCATTACATTACCAAAATAAACCGTTTTTCGTTTTTTTTAAACCGCTTCCGAGCCCTGCCCATGACCATCTTTGCTGCAAAACATTCAAAGCGCAGAAAAATAACAAAATAAAAAAACGCGAATACATCCGTTTTTTTTAATACTAACTGCTATTAAAAAATTCATTGAATAAAACGCAATAACTTTAACCCGCCTACGACTTCCGTCCGTCATGATCTCAACGATCAAGGTCGCAGCATTCAAAGACCCACGGTGACGTCTCTATAAAAATTTACATTTCAATACAAAGCAAATTCAATAGGTAATTTATGATGTTGGGAACCGGTCTTACGTCGCGGTGAGCGGGGATCAACGCGCCGACGACGGGCTGCCGGTTGTGGCAGCTTGGCCGCACTCGCCTACGCGGAGCCCACCGCTAACGGCCGCCTCGAAATACTTATAACTAATTTTTATTAACGGCAATATAAACCAGCGAATTATACAGTCCACCTTTTATTTAACGACCCTGTAGGACCCTTACATTGGTCCTTCAGGATCTCACCGAAAATAAAAGAAAATCAAGTTCTTCATCATCTTACTTTTCGACACTACGACCTTATGCAACTGCTGGATACTTGTCATCGGTGGAGCGAAGAACACGAAGACTCTTCCTAAGGCATTATGGCAGCTGTACACCGCAACTGAGGTTTTTCGACTCCGTATCGTTAACAAAAGGTCACATGAAGATCACAGAGGTCAACCGGGCGCGGACTTTGGACTCGTCGAAGGTTCGAGTCATCGTCAACATTACGGAGTTATTGGATCATCGAGGATTCCCTTGTGGTTTGGAGATTTCGTGAGTTCGTTCCAATTAATTATTCCTTCTATATCCATACCACTTTATTCCTAAAAAGTTCAATAACTACCGAATATCCTATTAAGTACTCACTAGTGAGTACCTATATTCATCTTATAATAGTAACAAAAGGGGTTGAATCCCCTATTGGCTATTAATTCATAAGAAGTTATGATAATTTAACACATTTTAGTATAACAAGTTTTAATAATACATAATTATTGCATATCTTATATTTTAAGTTACATTATTTCAATCACATTTTTTTAATAAAAATCAAGCAATTTATTTAGCATCTTCATTTAATTTCTATATATAATAATATTGCACTTGTTTACGCTAACTGCTCGCTTCTTGGAATTGCCTGCCGACCAGTCGCACACGCAGCTGTCTTTTTGTTCTCGCTTCACGGTCAAGGTCGTTCACTTCGTTTGCTAATTACTTTCTATTCATTACGATTTATTTGCTTCATAGTTCATTTATACATCTTTATAGTTATTATTTCTATAACTATGGCAGACGTAAAAATTGAAAAATTAATTAACAGACGTAGCTGTATGAGATCTAAGCTATTTTTAATAATTAAACACGCTTTAAAGCCAAAGCAAGCTTTTCAACTCTCAACTTTTAGACTTAGAAAGTCGTTTTAATAAATTCGATGCCTTATTTGCCGATTTCGATAAATTGCAGAACGATATTGAGATGCTTTCGAAGGATTGCAACGACGAGACCAAGGAACGCGAAACTTTTGAAAATCACTATGACATGTTGCTAGCAGCAGCCCGAACTCTCCTAGGCGCCCAGCCCAGACAGCAACGGGATCGAGATGTTTCCGTATCGAGCTTCGAGGATGCTCACACAGGTGTTTTTAAAAATAATTGCGTTAGATTGCCAAGAATTGATTTACCCCATTTTCATGGTCACTATCAAAAGTGGCTAAAGTTTAGGGAAACTTTTATCTCATTAATTCATTCCAGACATGACATTGATAGCATTAATAAGTTGCACTATCTTCGTGCACCTTTAAACGGTAGTGCCTTGCTTGTTATTGATAATTTAGATTTTAAAGCCGAGAATTATGAATTCGCATGGATTCTACTATGTAGTAGATACGATAATAAAAGGTTACTGGTCAATAACTACGTTAAAGAACTTTTTAACGTGGAACCTATGCGCAGTGAATCTTGTTCATATATTCATCGTATAATAGATGTAACGAATAAAAATCTTAGAGCGTAATCGACTTTAGATCAGCAAACTCAGTATTGGGATACGCTAATAATTCATATAATGTCAGAAAAACTTGATAGTGTGACGCATAGGGTATGGGAAGAACATAGAAATACTTTAATTGGACCTCCCTCTCTAAATACCTTTATTATATTTCTTAGCAGTAGGGCAGACTTGTTAGAAACCTTACAAGAAAGTAAATTAAATAAAATAGAACCTTATAAATCAAACACCAATTTACTTATTGCTAGTAATAAAAAAACAATTAGCCAGAATAAAAATAATAATAAAACTAATAAAAAATTATTTCCATGCTCCATGCTTTCATGTCCTATGTGCCATCAGAATCTTTTTCTTTTTCACTGTGAAACATTCAAGGTTCTCTATTGAAGGTCGTATTGAAAAGGCTAAAGAGCTCAAAGTATGTCTAAATTGTTTACGGCCAGGTCACTCAGAAAGTCATTGTAATCTCGTATCTTGTAAATATTGCAAGAAAAGGCATGATACGCTTCTTCACTTACAAGAAACGCATACAAATATTCAACCTGCTATTCCAGGTGTTAGTAACATCATCAATTTTGCTAGTTCATATAATGAGGATCAGTACAGTTATAGCAAATTCCATAGAACTAGTATCCACGTTATTTTATAAGACATAAGAATGATATACACAAGTAAAGGTGTCGTAGACATACTAAAGTCAGCTCAATTTAATTTAAGAAAATTTAAGGCAAATAGTAAACTTATTCTTAATCAAATTGCTCCTCATACTAATAATTCAGATAATATTTCAGATATTTCAAATAGTAACTATGGCGGGCGGGTGGGAGGTCGGTAGTAACTATGACTCTCTTAACTCAACATCTCTTGCCGCCGTTTCACCGTGTTGATACACGAACATATGAACCTAAAAGGCAAAACCCCTAACGGGGTATTAAGAGAACATAGTCACTCACGGCCTGGTGGTAGCACACACTTCACTGGCGCGCCAGCTAGTCAGAGGGATGTGAATACTGCGCGATCGGGTCAGTCAACGGGGAAGAATGCCTGTACCGGCATAACGCCCAACTCCTAACCTCAGCCTGCACGTGGCGCCGCCGCGAAAGCCAACAAAGGGGGGGGGGGGGACAGCACCGAAATAGGCATCCCTTTAGCAGGGTGTTGCAAGTATCTCAATGGTGTTGTCTGGTTTTCATTTTGGGACCGTGCACATTTCCACTGTTATCTCCATGATTATCGGCGCTCACCGGTGGCGGTGGAGAGAACAGTCAGGCTTGTCCCTGGGTCCTCTTCGGAGTGTGCAGCGCCTTTCCATCCGATGCGTGATCCAGGTGGTGGTTGTGAGGTGAGATTCTCTGCAACAGTCCCGTCGGGTGGGATCTTCGGAACCCGCCAAGTCTAATGGCCTACTTCGGTTGGGACCTTGCGAAGGCCGTGGGCGAACCTGGGATTTGGGCTTGCACCCCATCTCTCAAAGGGTAAAACTGACGCAATGGAAAAGTATAAAGAATATATGGACCACCCCGACCTCCCACAGGAGTCGGGGAGCGGCCAGATTCCCTCCTCTTTGGCTCGGCCCGACGATCGCAATCTGAACGTCGGCGAGTCATGGGATTTTGACTGTCCACTCTGTGGACGGTCCTTCTCAACCAAGACGGGCTTGGGGTCCACAAACGTAGAGCCCACCCCGCCGAGGCAAATGTGGAGGCTGCTCCGAAAGGGTGAAGCGTAGGTGGCGCGATGAAGAGGTGCCTCTAATGAAGCAGCGCAGCTTATGAAGAAGTCTGGGAAGTGCTCTGGCTCAGACCTGCACGCCAAACTGCCACAGCTCTAAAGGACGCTGGAGGCGGTTAAGGGAAAACGCAGGGGAGAGGACTACAAAAGGTTGGTGGAAACCTTCCTGGAGGAGTTCTCCTCTCCGGTGCCGGTACGTTCTGCGAGCGTGGACCGCTCTGGAGTAGCGCAGCCCCCGGGTGCTCAGGATGAGTGCACCAGAAGACGTGCCGCTCGCTGATGAATCCCATACCGCGACCAGGGCTTCAATCAGTCCTAACGCAGAGCAGGCGCTGTTTAAGCTCCTTCGGGTTGCTGAGAGACGGCGCAAGCGCTGCGAGCTGGGAGCAAGGGTCGCGAGGCACCTCCACCTAAACGGAATTGACGGGTGTGCGCTAGAGTCATTATCTAGCAAAAAACAGAGACGAGCAGAGTACGCGAGGGTTCAGGAACTGTTCCGAAAGTGTCCGGGTCGATTAGCGGCCGAGATCATCACCGGGCAGTCCCGGGAGGTATAGAACAGCCTCGAGGAGTTGGAAGCATTTTGGCGACCTATCCTAGAGGAGGTGTCGGAAGCTCCCGGGCCCACGGAGGTCTCATTGCGAGCCATGCGGCAAGCTAGAGACGCCGAGGGGGCAGACGTGTTTGACCGGCTGTGGCAGCCCATCTCGGTTGACGAGGTGAAGGCTACCAATGTCGACCTGCAGACGGCGCCAGGTCCGGATGGAACACGTTCGGATGAGTGGCGCTCAGTTCCTAACCATTTGAAGGCGGAAATGTTCAACTTCTGGATGGCAGTTGGTGAGATTCCGGACCAGCTGACACAATGTCGCACGATCTTCGTCGCAAAGATGGACACTCCTAAGCGACCGAGTGACTGCCGACCGATTTCGGTCGCGTCAGTACCACTCCGATACCTGCACTCAATCCTGGCGGGAAGGCTCCTGGGTTGTTGTTCGCCGGACGAACGGCAAAAGGGATTCATCCACGCGGATGGGACCCTCGAGAACACTGCGGTGCTCGACGCCGTGCTAGGCGACAGTCGGAGGAAGTTGCGGGAGTGTCATGTGGCGGTCCTCGATTTCTCTAGGGCATTCGAACTGTTAGAACTCCTGGGAGCGAGGGGACTACCCAAAGGATTCTGTGACTACCTGGCTCGTTTGTACGCAACGGCGACTACCACCTTAGCCGTAAAAGGAAAGCAGAGCCAGCCTGTCAAAGTTGGACGAGGAGTCCGCCAGGGAGACCCGCTGTCACCTGTGCTGTTTAACATGGCCATGGACGGTATCCTAGCGTCGCTGCCTAGGGCGTCGGCTGCGGTCTGGCGGGCTCGGCTCTGGCCTATGCTGACGACCTGATTCTCCTTGCGGGTTCCAAGGCAGGAATGCAGGAGTCCATTGACTGGGTGTTGCGGTCTGAGGAAGCAGTGGGACTCTGTCAACCGGAGTAAGAGCTCCGTCCTCTCGATAGTGCCGGATGGCCACCGCAAGAAACACCACTATCCTACGGGGAACTCGTTCTCGATCGGTAGGAAAAAGCTTCGGCAGGTGACTTGCGTGGAAAGATGGCGTTATCTTGGGGTTGATTTCGACTCGTCTGGATCTGCGACATTTGAGCAGGAGGTGTGTAAGGCCCCTGACAACATCTCTAGGGCGCCCCTTAAGCCGCAACAACGGCTCGAACTCGTGAGGGGTGTCCTCATTCCGAAGTTCATGCACGACCTAGTGCTGGGACAGATCTCGGACGACAGACTCCGAATGCTCGATGTCCGGATACGAGGCGCTGTGAGGACGTGGTTAAGGCTCCCAGCTGACGTACCAGTAGGCTACTACCACGCTTCTGTCAAGGATGGCGGGCTCGGAGTGCCCTCGTTTCATGTGGTGGTTCGGGCCACCATCGTGCGAAGGTATGGCGAGCTCACCCAGTCGAGTTGGCCCGCAGCTTCGGTTGCCGCCAGGACCGACGAATATGGAAGAAGTTGAGGTGGGCTCGCAGGCTACTGAGGAAGTTTGGCATGACTAGCGCCGATGACCTAACATCTGTGGTGAAGTATTGGCGGGAGAAGCTGCACGCATCGACGGATGGATTCGAGCTCCGTGAATTGTCCCGAGTCCCTGCATCCACAGAGTGGATCAGGAAGCGAAGTGGGCAGTTTACCGGTCGCGATTACGTGCAGTTCGTCCATTGTCATATCAACGCTCTCCCGTCCCGAATCCGGGCTTCGAGGGGACGTAGAGACCGCATGGACACGAGATGCCGCGCAGGATGTGTGGAGAGAGAGACGACGACCCACATCATTCAGCAGTGCTTCAGTACTTACGGTGGCCTAATCAAATGTCATGACTTTGTCACAAGGGTCGTTGCCGAGGCGATGACCCAGCGGGGCTGGTCTGTTGAGCTTGAGCCTAAAATCATGACCTCACTTGGACACCGAAAATCCGACGTCATAGCGGTAAGGGGTGGAGCGGGTGTTATTTTAGACACGCAGATGGTCTTGGGCCAGCGGCCTCTTGACGACGCTCAGCGCGCTAAACGTAAGAAATGCGGGAAGCATGAGGAGTTAGTGAAGAAGGTTGCAGATAGACTAGGACTGCCTAGTTCGGAGTGTGTCCGGAGTACCTCCTGCACCATTTCCTGGCGAGGCGTATGGAGTGCCTCCTCCGTCAAGGAGATGAAGGAACTTCTCGGGCTTGACAATTCCGTGTTCGGTCTAATACCGAGCCTCGTTTTGAGAGGGTTCCATACCAACTGGACCCGTTTTAATCAGATGACGAGCCACATCACTTCGTGGACGCCGGACCGAGTCTAAGGGGTCATGTGGACTGGGTCCCTGCAAAACCCAGTGATCCCGGACCCCACGCGGTAGCTTCAATCGTGGTGCCTCTGTTGCAAAATCTCGCGGATTACAGCCCAACAATTTGCAAAATGCCGTACCCAAACGCTGTGGGAGTTAGTGGGCATAGGTCACTCCTGAGTATGCCCGTTAAGGGGCGTTAATCACTAACTCGGAGACGAAGTAGTGCGGGCGAAATAGCAAAATGCCTCGTCATCTAATTAGTGACGCGCATGAATGGATTAACGAGATTCCCGCTGTCCCTATCATACATTTGCCAACGCATTACTTCATCTTAACCACTTACAAATTCCTCATTGGGTTCTTGTTGACGAATCTATAATTCATGAAATTCATATTTTTTCAGATGCATCGGAGCGTGCATATGGTTGTTGCGTTTATGTGCGATTCATAAGCACTTCAGGTTTAATTCAAACGCAACTTTTAACCTCTAAAAGTAGCATAGCGCTCATAAAGCCCACAACGATTCCACGTCTTGAGCTTTGTGGAGCCTTGCTAGCTGCAAGGCTATGTAATAAGGTATTAGCTTCTTTAACTTTAAAAATTAGTAAATGCATATTTTGGTGTGATTCTACGATCGTGTTAGGGTAGTTGCATACACCATCTAGGTACTCGTCTTAAGTTTTTTGTTTGCAATCGTGTTCATGAAATACTAGAATGTACGAAGACTCACTCGTGGAGCTACGTACTGTCTAAAGACAATCAAGCAGATCTTATTTCACGCGGGGTGAAGGCTGATCGCATCAGTAATTCTTTGTTGTGGTGGTCAGGGCCAAATTATTTAAAACTAAATGAATCCGAGTGGCCGAATATGCCTAACATTGTCGTTAAACAAAACCTACCTGAATTGACTACAATGTGTTCTCTTGCGGTTAATCATAATACTGATTTAATATGTAATTTAATAAATAATAAATCAAAATTAATGTATTTACAACATTTTATAGCATATATGTATACAAAGATTTATACATAATTGTAGAAATAAAATCAAGAAGTTTACAGGCTATCTTTCCGCTCAAGAACTTCAAAATTCATTAAATTTAATTATACATAAGTCCCAATTAGAATTGTTCCCAGAAGAATATGGTATTTTTATAGCCAGGAAGACATTACCTAATAAAAAAAGATTAATTGCTTACTCCATTTTTAGACTCTAATAACATTATTAGAGTTGGTGGAAGACTCGATAATTCCCCGTACACTTACGATACTAAGCATCCAATTTTATTATGCAGTAAGCATCACTTTACTAAAATTCTATTCGAACATTTACATAAAAACACTCACATTCTCCTCCTCAACTATTATTAGGGATTATAAAAAAAACTTATTGGCCTTTAGGTGGCAAAAATCTTGCGACATCTGTAGTAAACAAATGCTTACGATGTTTCAGGTACAAGGTAGATACAGTTCAATCTATTATGGGTCAGTTACCGCTATCACGCATAGAGCTAGTATTCCCCTTCTTGCATTATAGCGTTGACTATGCTGACCCAATAATGATAGCAGACCGACCAGGTAGAGGTTGCAAACTTATTAAATCTTTCTTGGCAATCTTCGTTTGTAGTTCGACAAAGGCTTGTCACATAGAGCTCGTTACGGCTTTATCCAGCGAAGCATATATAGCCGCTTTAAGGCGCTTCATGTCACGTCGTGGTAAGCCTCAAAGCATCACATCTGACAATGGCAGAAATTTTGTCTAGCTCAATTTCTGGTCTAGCTCAATTTCTGGTTCAATCAGATCTCGAAGGTCAAGTGGCACAGGAAGGCATTGAATTTAAATTCGTACCCGCCTATTCACCGCATTTCAATGGCTTAGCCGAAGCAGCTGTTCGCTCTACCAAACATCGTCTTAAACGTCTTTTAAATATTACTCATTTTTCTTATAAAGAGATGACAACGTGCCTAACTTAAATAGAGGCTGTGTTAAATTCTCGTCCTCTTATCCCTTTTTCCACTGATCCCTCTGATTTTTCCGCCCTTACTCCAGCTCATTTTTTAATTGGACGTTCTCTTTTATCTGTGCCACATCCACATATTGCTGAAAAGAATATCACTGTAATGGAGCGATATAAGAGAATTGAAGTTATAAGTCAACACTTTTGGAAACGATTCTCACTAGAATATGTCATATCTGTTGCAGCAGAAGACGAAGTGGCGGACATCGAAAAGTGACCTATCTAGTGGTTCCCTTGTCCTCATAAAAGACGGAACTCTTCCTCTATTATTATGGTCACTAGGACGAGTCCCTTAACTTTATCCTGGCAGCGATGGTATCGCTAGAGTTGCCGAAATAAAGACAACACGAGGAACCATTCAAAGGGCTTTTAATAATATATGTCCTCTTCCAGTGTCTAGTTTTTGAAGCCTCAATCTTCAACCCGGGGAGCATGTTGGGAACCGGTCTTACGTCGCGGTGAGCGGGGATCAACGCGCCGACGATGGGCTGTGGCGGTTTGGCCGCACTCGCCTACGCGGAGCCCACCGCTAACGGCCGCCTCGAAATACTTATAACTAATTTTTATTAACGGCAATATAAACCAGCGAATTATACAGTCTACCTTTTATTTAACGTCCCAGTACGACCCTTACATATGACGTTCATTGATTTAGCTCCTAAATAAACAGTACAAGTCTAAATACAACAAGAGCTTTATCTCTTGCGAATGAAGGAAATATAAATAGACATCATAAACAGTATTTTCTTTCGCATAAAGTTCAATTTAGTTGATAATTTGTTAACAATCACCTCTTATTACGAAATATTTATATAAATAAGATATTGTAATGTAATATAATGAAATAGTAGTGTCTGTCAGTTAATTAGATCTCTAAATAAGGATATTTGGAATAAAAATCTATTTCTAACCACTGTGATAAGTCTTTGGGCTACTTTAAATACATAAAGATCAACTCTGTGTATTTAACGTATACGTATCTAATTATTTTACAAAATATTTTGTTTAAAAGACCTTGTTTATTTGATCATATATATACATAAATAAATTGGAAGAAAATCATTAGTTTACAAGCAAAGTGTATTTAAAAGCAGACGATACACAAAAGTTTCCTTTATATAATATAAGACTTGTATAGATACAAGTAAGTGAATAGTTGAATAATTATGGAAAGCGAGAAACATATTAATTTGGAAAGTATCCTTACTGAAAAACAACTTCAACACATATTGAATGAGACGGCCTCAGGGTCTCAAATCGTTGATTATGACCTGAAACCTGCGTGTCAGGGCTTAGCCGGTTTCCTCGGAGACCACTTAAGGCTAACCCTACATGTGAAAGAAAAGGGTGTTTTGAAAAATATTCATCTGTTTATAAAGTCGCTGCCGCTGAGCAATAAACCTAAATCTGATTTTATTAGTGATAGCTATTTTTATGCGAGGGAGAGCATGATGTTCAAGGTCTTCGCTGATATGCCGGATGTTGGTGGTGAGTATTGATCATTTTAGAATGTAATGGTCTTGTTTTACTTTGTATTCAGCCCTTTTTAACATCCCACTGCTGGGCGCGGGCCTCCCTTCTTCTTCACATGTTTTACAAAAACTTGTTCGGTTCTCTCAGATATGCAGGTTTCCTCAAGATATTTGTTTTCCTTCACCGTAAGGCAAGTAGTAATAATGTTAGAAATGATTCGAACATGAAAATATCAAAGGTGCGAGACCCGGGATTTGAACCCGCTTCACTCGGTTTCCCAAGCGAGCGCGTTACCACTGGGCTACCACTGCCTTTACTTCAGTTTTATCAATAATAATTTAGGCATTAGGTACAGATAATACAGTCAACCTGCTAAGTAAATTTGTATTATAATAGTATATTTGTCCAGGATAGATATAAAAACCAAAAGATTTCCTAGGGCTCGATTAGACGTGAGTTTCACAAGAGACTATACTTAGACTTTTTCTTATTTTCTATACAAAAAACGTCTTGCTAATTAATGCGATTCTCGTCTTTCTAGATAGTAAAGTAGGTATATAGTTCTAGTAGTCTAAAATCTTGAATTATGATTGTTGATGTTATTTTAATTTTTTTTATATTTTTTTATTTCTTTCTGTGATATTCAGTCTCATTAACACCTCCAGGAAAATTTCTAAGAAATCTATTGTTAACTGGGACGCCGGCGTGTCCGCGGTCGTAGAGGGATTAAATATTTTATAAAAGAAATAAACACAAACTTGTGACACCTATTTGGTTAACTCGATCACTTTAGGACTATATACCTACATAATACACTATACACAAAAAATCTATAACTTTAGAGACACATTAAAAAATGTTGTACACAAATAAGGGTTTGTGTTAGAAATGGAAGGGGTTTTAGAATTTTACACCATATGTAGTACCCCTAATGTTTGACAAAAATTACAATACAAACGCATAAAATAAATATTTAAGGGGGCTCCCATACAACAAACGTGATTTTTTTGCTATTTTTATAGATAAGGGTACGAAACATAACATGCGCGAGTCCGACTCGCACTAGGCAAGTTTTTATTTTTTTCTTAAAATTGAGAATTAATAAAAAATGTATAAAACAATAATTACTCTTGCACAATACACAATACAATTGGCAAATATATTTTTGGCAACTCGATTATTGTTTAATCTTTTAATTTAGGACTCGCGCATGAAGGGTTTGTATTTGTTGTTATAGCGGCAAAAGAAATACATCATCTGTGAAAATTTCAACTGTTTAATTATCACGGTTCATGAGATACAGCCTGGTCACAGACGGATAGACAGAAGGACGGAAGCGGAGTCTTAGTAATAGGGTCCCGTTTTACCCTTTGGGTACGAAACCCTAATAAACTACTCTAAAATATTCTGTTGTTAACGCAGAGCCCGAACCATACTCGAAACGTGCGGTTTCTCGATAACCAATGACAGCGTGAGGACCTTAGGCCCCCATCAGCTGCTGGCATACCTCGATAAGCTATCTTTCTCGCACCTATGGCTACGCATAAGACTTTCTTGTAGTACTAATTTGTAAACTTTATTTACGTCTGGGAATGGTTTATAACCGGTAAACTCTTCTGGCGATTTGCAAGTATTAATAAAAATTACTCAATAAATACGTGATTAAAATTTCAGATTGCCAAAAGTATATTTTTTGGAATAAAAAAAATGAATCTTTGGAGAGGTCTGGCAATGCTTTATAACCGACAAAACCGTCTGTTATAAGGTTCTTTTTTTAAAATTATATGAAAACTAAATTAAAAGATTAAATAAAAATCAAGTTGCTAAAAATAGTTTTCTTTGGATATTTTTTTTGCAAATGTTATATACTGCGCAGTAACGAAATAACCGCTATCCCAGACTCGCGGGACTAGACTCGCCAATTTACGAAATTATATTTTTTCACAATTTCAACTTGCCAAAAGGACCTTCCCAAAATTCGTCACGAGCTCTCGGGCTAATTCCTAATTTTTTTCTGAAGGAGTTATTTTAAAACAAATGTCACTTTATATATTGCAGGTCCAAATCCGTGGTGCGCCAAAGCCTTTTTACACAACGACAAAGTATTAGTAATGCCTGATTTATCTGTCGAAGGCTACAAAATTTGCCAAGCAGAAAACTTTTTTGATAGAAATCATGTTTTAGTTGCAATATCATCCCTTGCTCGCTTTCACGCCGCATTTTGTAATTATGTGACTAATAAGAGCGAGAAAACACCATATAACTTTCTAGATGAATATGGTGATGTAATTACTGAACCAACTTTTGTGGAATCCCCATGGCTTAAAGCTGGAGCGCGTGTGGTCTATAACCTCCTTAAGGAATTTTCACCTAAATGGAAGAAATACCCTAGGGATTTGAGTGAAAAACTTGAAAAACTGTGTATAGAAGCTTGCAATACACTTCAAGTGTATGAAGAGACTGTAAATGTAGTGATTCATAAGGATTTATGGGCGAATAATATTATGTTCAAATATTCTGAAGAAATTCCTATAAATGCTATTTTAATAGATTTCCAATGCTTGCAATACGCGCCGCCTGCTTTTGACGTCATGATATTTCTCTACCTCACTACATGTAGATCATTTAGAGATTCTCACGAACTTGAAGTTTTAGATCATTATTACAAAGTGTTTTGTGCAAATTTGGATGAGCCTACATCACTTAGATTGAAAGAGTATACTCGACCAGACTTTTTACGTTGGTGTGAAAAGGCCAGGCTATTTTCATTAGTTGTTGCTGCTCTCATTGGTCCTTACGTGGCAATGGAGCCGACAGCTGCCCAAAAGCATTTTGATAACCCCGATACGTACGCAGAGTATTTATACGACCGGTGGTATCCTGTGATATCACATGCTAGGGAAAATAGGATCTACATGAAACGAAATGTTGCTTTGGGTGAAGAGATAGTGGAAAAATATATATTGAAGCAATATTTGTAAATTCTGAAAAAGTTTTTGGTAACTTTTGTGTTAAGTCTACCACATCATGCAGACATAAACGGGATAAATCTCCTACGAGTGTATGTTGTGTAGAATGGTTCGTACTTACTTACGTTTTAAAATTTAGTATAGATTTCTCAGAGATGAGATATTTTCCCGCGGTAAAAAGTATCCTATATGTTGACCCGGATAACCAGCTATCATCATAACAAATTCCAGTGGTTTCCTCGTGATGCGTCACAGACAGACAAAAATCTAAAAACTAGACTCGGCCTCTGTATCGATAATAATGACTATTTCAATAATATTTTCCAAACAATATTTAATGTACAGATCGGCTCAGTTAGAATTCTATCATATGTATGTATAATAGACAAGTTACTGTTTTATTATATGTATAGATTCTAATATTCCAGTCACTATTAACTACAGAGCCGGATTTAAGGGAGGGAAACCGGGACTACAGACCTGGGTCTGGATATAAGGGCAAAAGAAATTTCTAGGAAATCTAATATAGTTTTTATGTGAAATTAATTAACGCATTTATGTGGTTCCATAAAAACAAAGTAAACCAAAACAAAGCTAAGAAAATCCTTAATTATATATTAATAAGTACTTATTACTATATTTAATGGTGAAGGCAGAAAGTGTAATAATATTTTTTTTTTTGTCTGTAGGATACAAAATATCTATATTTAAACTAAAAGGAACACTTAAGAATAAAAATAACTATGTATAAGGCTGGTCCTTATGATTAGGAATATTGTTAAAATTACATTTTATATTCTTATTTAATAAAGTAAGCACAATTTAAAGTTTGAGATTTTATTTCGTTTAATCGTTAATAAATTTACTTCGAACTTTCTAAAGTTTTAGTAATTTGGTCGCAATTATTTTAATCGATAATTTTTCAAATCATTTTAGCCCCGCCGACGCAAAAGGTTGTGTTATAAAATTAACGTGTGTATCTGCGTGTCTGTTTGTGGCATCGTAGCGCCCAAACGGATTAACCGATTTTAATTTAGTTTGTTTTTGTTTAAAAGGTGCTGTGTGTTAATGTCCCAACATAGTTATATTTATTTATTCCAAAATATTTATTTTCTTGTCATAATGATTGTTTGAGATCGAAGCTATAAATTTAAAAGAAGTTTTAAAGCAGTCGAGAAACGGCTTGTGGGTTGAAAGGTATTCATTTGTTAAAAGTAAAAGATATTTATTTTACACTATTGTAAAGACCCTTTATGAGTTTACTGTAACTTGTCAGTAGATGGCACTACCGCGAGTAAACTTCTACACCATTCGCAATGAAAATTAATATTTTTTAACAACCCTTGCAATTGGCGGCATTTCCTTGTAAATCGATCACTAACTAACTGTTGCAAGTGTTTCCTTGTAACGATTCTTTATAGTAGAATAGACTTCCAATTAGTTATTATGTTACCTACAGACGTAGTGTTTTTTTTTATGTACATTTATAATTGTTGTGTAATGCACTGTATCCTTGTAATGTATTTATTTCAAGTCACCCTATCCATTTATGTTGCGGACCATTTTTGGTTTCGTAACTCACTCATACTTATGCTAATGAACGTGCCGAAATGTAGTCTGGACTACATTTTAATCGGCACATAAAAAGCGGTGGTATAAATACATATAATAAAAATTGCGTTTCGCTTTTGTTTCATTTATAGTATTGCATTTTTTCTTTTTTTTTAACGTTAGGAAATGCATTTACATATAACACCTGCAATGCGTACAGGTGGTTATGTGGGGCTCACCGGCAAAGCCTAGTACTACCCACTAAAACCCACCCGAACCTAACCCGTTTTAATGGCAGGATCGTTTACGCACTCAACCACGATGCCACAACGGCAGGTCTGCCGAAGCAGACCACAACAACCATGAGGCTGCTCCCTCGGTCCATTCTGCCGTCAGAGAAGTACCATGGTACACCGCCCACCGAAGTGGACCACCTCCCAGTGCGTATCTTGACTTCGCGCCCGGCTGTATTTCCGGGCACTACTGGTTAGTCAAGGCGTAAGTGAACTGTCAATTTAAGCTAATATATTATATACGTACAACCTCTCATATGTTAAAACTGTCTTAAAAAGTAGTATGTTATATTAGTTAAACCAATAAAGATATTTTAACAGCAGGTATAGTGTATACCTATATACCTGAGTCATCGTGCGACCATCTGTTCGAATCTGTGTCGCGGCATGTCACGATCTCCCATATTGGGCGAGGCGGCTATCTCACGCTGTTTATCTGATTTTTAAACCGAATAATTGCCACAGATGTTAAGTACTTTACTGTTTTTTTATTTATATAATCGTGGAGTTACGTATTCATGGTTAACAGCTCTGATGTAAGTATTGATTTGTTTTTGTTGCTCTAAACTAACTTTAAGTACCTAAGTAAGGGTAGATTAGATGACATAGTTTGTCTTACAATAATACAAACATTTAACTAAACTTTGAACTGTGAACTATATTTTCGAATATTTCGCGGATTTAATTTGATGTTTCGAATGTTTTACAGAAATCACAGTTACGGGAGAGGCTATTATTATATTGATACTAGCAGAACCCGCAGCTTCGCTCGGGCTAAAACTGCAAAAAAATCTCTAATAGGGCAGTTTCTTAGAAACTTCCATACCCAATTTTATCCCCTTATAGGATGAGTTCCGAAAAATGCTAAAACACGTTTTTGTTTATTTTTATTGAAAATCATTAATACGAAGTTTCACGTAATTCTGATATTTTTTTGGATTGTACTATAACGCGTTTTCCCGTGGGAATTAGATAATCTCACGTGGTAAAAGTAGCCATGTCACTCTCCAGTCCTCCAACTATCTCCACACTAAAATCACGCGAATCCGTCGTAAAAGAAGGACAAACAAACAAACAAACACACTTTCACATTTATAATATTAGTATGGATTTTGTAGGTAGGCGCCCTCATCATAATTATAAAAGAACTTTGGAGACACCTATGAGTTGATGACCTTAGTCTCTCTTGTGAACATAATTGCTGTAAAGCAAATAAATAAAAATAAATCTGCGAAAAATTGTTTTGAAATGTTTACATTACGAAAGTATTTAATAATTAAATAAATCCGATTAAATGGACTTCTTGACAATATTTTATTAGGCAATCCATCGGTAATAATACTTTTCATCGGTCACCCAGTTACACATGGATGAAGCACGACCTCATTTCATCTTCTACTACATACATCGTCTGTAAGTTCCAAATTATAATATTTGTATTGCTATACGTAAACAGATAGAACACATAATACTGTCTTAGATTTACGCGAATATTTGACAGTTTTTCTACTATCTTTTAGGACTATTTCGCGGATTTATTTTGATTTTTGGTTTCCAACGTTTCGATTGTTTTACACTTTATAGCAATCATGAGATTCTCATGTGACCATGTGCGCTTTTAGTTTTAGTTTTATTTAAGATACCATTACCCATATATTGCTCAAGAAATGTATGTGAGTGTAATGTGTGTGAGTGTGTGTCTTTGCGAGGCGCGTGCGTTAGTAGGTACGTACGGGCGTGTGCGTGTGTTGAGTGTTTAAGTGATTAATAAATAATAAGTACATATGCATATGCATATTATTATTATATTTATATTATTATGTAATAGCCATATACTGGATGGAATGAACAACGGACGATTCGAGGATGATCGTCAGTTTCCTAACCTTATACTAACGTGACAAACCCACATTTAACAAGAAAGTAATAACTAAACAATTATTGTTTATTATTTCAAAATATTTCTGAATTATTTAAACATAAGTTTATACCTGAATATAATTTACTATACAACCGGTCCTCTGTTCACTCTCCGTGACGTACACGCAGATAGTATACTTAGTGTCACATAACATTCTTGACATAATTTTTACTTTATCAGTTCAAGTTCATCAGCCAGAGAACCTAAAGTTCTAACGAAAGTAAAATATCTCCCGTAGAAGAGGTAGAGATAGATAGACAGAAAAAGGAAGAGAAATATTTACTACTAGCAACTCATCCTCGCTCCACTCGAGTTCGTCCCTAGTTACGTCTTAACGTTTAGTACAGATTTCTCAGAGATGACATATTTTGCCGCAGTAAAAAGTATCTTACAAACCTATAGGTATGTTGACCCGGATAATCAGCAATCATCAAATTTCATTAAAATCAGTCCAGTGGTTTTCTCGTGATGCGTTCCTAGGCAGACAGACAGACAAAAGTTATAGTAAGTTAAAGTCTGTATTTACTAGATAATTTTAAGAAAAAAAATTATAATGGAAATGCTTAACTGAAGTGCAGATAATTAAACTCTAAAATAAAAATAAAAAGATGTAGAAGAATAATATAAATAGACGAATTACTATTCATCATGTATCATCGTATTTTTCTAAATTTTAAATGTAATGTCAGCAAAAAAACGGCATAGACAGTGGGCGATTGACACGTTGATTTATATGTGAGCTTTGCTATATTTCAAGATATCGCGTATAATTTATAACATTTGCCAAATATATTTTAATGTTATCGTTCTTGTACTAATAAGAGTATTATTATTATTATTTATTTATTTATTATTAGTTCAATATAACTCTTTAAATTGTTTGGAAACGTCAATGGGCCTTAGATTTCATGTAAGATTCGGTAATATCTCTGTATCGATAATAATGACATTTTCAATAAGATTTTCCAAAAAATATTTAATGTACATATTCGACTCAGAATTTTATATTATGTATTATAGATGATAGTGTGCATCTTGTTCATATAATACTGTTCTTACAAGTGTTTCAATTAAATATCTAAGGTAGATTTTAACTAAAAATAAAACTATATTTTCGGATTATTTCGCGGATTTATTTTGATTTTTTGTTCCCGACTTTTCGAATGCTTTACAGCAATCATGGTCACCGGAAAGACTAAAGTTATAGACGTCACAAACACATATTTGTTGTAACTAATTAATTA